CTACAGAAGCGACTTGTCGAGCTTGATTGGGGAGGAATAAGCGCCAGTTGGCCATGGCCAAGGACCTCAAAGTACGACGTCTGGGTAGAAGGGTTGCCACGTACTGCGGAGTCAACTTACATATACGGGCTGCACCTAACCTGGCAGACAGTACATACTGAGCTAGAGCCTCCACGATCGCCCCAAGCTTTGGACATCATCGTGTAATGGGCTAAATGATGAGTTTAGAGGCGCATGATGATCCCTGTAGAGTTTGACGCGTTTGGTCTGGTTTTTCGGGTGTTATATGAGCACGTCTTACATGCTTTTGTTTGGTCTGAGTATTTATTAATGGCAGCTGTGAGAAGACCCTTAGATTGAACAACACCATCCTTGGATTGACTGAACTGAGGCTTTACTGAGTAAATAACCTTCATTTCGTTCGATTTTGTTTTGTTTGCGACATTTGTTGGCGAAGCTGTACTTTTCGGAACTTGTATACTGTAATGCAGCTGTTCACATAAGATTCAAACAGGAAAGTGTGAACATTAGCAACGGCAGGAGTTGTCGCAGCGAGTCGTGGTGAGAGAGTATAGTGCTTAAGTCATCCAGCATTGGGTTTTATCGAAGTCTCACAATTTCAAGCTTGGACAGTGAGCAGTCAGCCCATACACACATCCTTAGATCTTAGCAAGATGCATGAGGACTGTATCATCCTCTCACTTGTGCCAAATTCCCTCCACTACCCGGGGAAAGTTTACTCTTGTCATATGCAGCCGACCCACCCCTTTTTTGAGTTGATCAATAGTTCTAGGTAGCATAGTGTCAGAAACATTAAAGGTTAAGACGTGTGCTGAAGTAGTCAAGTTTATGGAGCTTCTAGAGGTATTGCTTTTAATGAAACAAGCTTGGTGAGCTTGGAACTTAGTCAACTCCAACATTCTGTACGCATTTCATTCCATTATCAGCCTGCAATGTTACTGCGGCTCATAGAGCCTGAGACTCGCCTCCATTTCAACAAGTCCGCTTACAACTGGCTGAGATTGAACGTTACGATCCAACAAACTTCTTGTCTGGCAAAGTTGCGAATGCAGCCAGAAAAAATCATAGGGGACACCTTGAAATGCTAACCGTATTAACCTAACTTATCACTGGCCAGAAGTCCTTCAACCACAGTGGATTGTCTTCTCCGCTACTGGGTAAGCTCTTGCAGATATCAATAGCTTCACGTAGGCCTCGGTTCTGGCTCCCAAGTCCAATTTCTCAGTTCAAGATCCCACAGGTCGCAACAACATTCAACGGCCCTCCAGAAGACGTTCTAAGCGCACATGCAGGCGGGGCAGAATTGTACTTTTAACACTTTGGACGTCGCACTGCGTTAGTGCCTGTGAGCTTGGAACGTTAGGAACCAGCTGAAGGGCACGCTAATAAATAACGTGGTTTGAAACTTGAGGTGTATGTTGTGCACACAGCAGTCTACGGTTGAAGATATTAACGCTAGAGAGAGCTGAATCTTGATATGTGTTCAGACTGTTTACAACGGGCATTTATGGAGGAATAGTCTCATGCTTCTCTGTAGTAACGCACAGACTACGTCAAGGCGCAATTTTACGAGATGTTGTTATTGCTGAGGTGGATGTTTCCTTTAACATGTGGACTCATATGTGCTATGGAATCTCGAGCATGGGGCTATTTCCTGTGTGTCCACGCATTTCGTAAGATAATCAGTCCAATATACTATAGTGGCCGGTATGATGACCGACACACTGCAACTGGAGAGGTACCTTGGCTCTTCACTGTTGGTGAGCACTACCGTCCAGGTTCTAAGAAGTACATCATATCAACTGCTCGTGGTGGCCTTGAGAAAACAACATCACTAACAAAAGCCTCTAAAAGTTCTCCAAGGTCATGCTCTGGGCGATTTCAGTATCCTCGACAGCGTGCTTGAACTCTACAAAACTTAGCTTGGAATCACCGTCTTGATCATTCTCCATGATCGTCCTGTCCACGATCTGTTGCAGTTGATCGTCATCGAGGTTGTTACCAACCATCTTCTTCAACACCAAAAATAGCTCACCATTCGAGATGTACCCGTCCTTGTCCATGTCGTAAATCTCAAAGGCGAATTTGAGTTTGTCCTCCTTCTGGCCCCTTGTTGAAAAGATGCTGAGTCCCGTGATGAACTCTTTGAAATCGATGTCGCCAGAATTGTCCTTGTCAAAGATCTCAATCATCCTAGAGCCCAGTGGGTTCGAGCCTATGCCGGGTATCGATAGAAACTCCTCCTTGGATATCGTCCCTGAGCTATCCTTGTCCAATTTCATAAACCTTTTCCGCAGTCTATCGATCTCCTCGGAATCGACTATAATGGCATTCGTCTATTAGTAACGAGTCAAACAGCAGCAACACTAAAACCTTTTTGGCTGGTCAAGTACGTACAATTCGTGCCCTCTGTCAGCTCATCGAGCAGTTTTGAAGATTGAACACCCATTTGCCGTCAATACCCGTAACTGTTGTCTAGCGGATGGTGGCGATTGTGCCACGGTTAGCTAGCGTGTGTCTTTTTTTAGGACTCAGCTATGCCATGCGATGGAAAACACCTGAACATCCCATCTTCCTACAACAACAACAACAACAACAGTAGCCATAACAACAACAACTACTACTACTACTACTACTACTGCTTGTTATTCTACAGCGTCCACAGTGAGATTGTAACAAGGCACCATGGCCAAAGTCAGCGTATTCTGTCCCTGTTCTGAAAGGCTGACCTCGGAATTGGACGATACCGTAAGCTTGGAGCTGTCGTCATTTCCCGAAACCATCACAGATCCCAATACTCTTCACATCCAGCCAGACCTCAACTTCTGTAATCAGTGCCAGGCTGTGAGATGTCGAAAGTGCATTGAATTAGAGGTGGTGACGAAGTACTGTGCTCGCTGTCTGCACGAAATGAAGCCTGAATACTCCTTTTGCTCCAGAAACTGCTTGGACTGTCCAATATGTGGTAATAACCTTATCGTACTGCCCAACAAGAATACTATGACATGCTCAATGTCATGTTCGACATGTGATTACATTTACACAAGTGAGCCGTTGGAGAGGCTGAGACCTATGGCTCGGGTGGTGAAGACAGAGCAGAACAAACGCGAGTCCATGAGGATGTTTTCAGATCTGCAAAAGTTCTATCTTCAACAGAGACAGTTGGAACTCGGGAATGAAGACATTCCCAAGAGTATAGTTACCGAGTATTCGAAGATGAAGGTGAAAGAGTACGGCATCTATGAGTTTATGAGACGCTCCACTGTACGGGCATTGGATGAGGAAACTGTGGAATCCTTTGCTCGGTTAGCGAATAACGAGAGCATACTGTCCTACGACATTGGCCTTGGTGATTCATCTCGTTTTAAATCAGAGGCGTTACCTTTGCAGACCAAACTACGGTGTAAATATGCTAAGCGTTGTAAAGCATGCCGATCTTCGCTGATGAAGCCTGATCATGACCCGACGTCCGTGAAGTTCTACAAGTTATCCAATGCGATTGATACTCTTCCATCAATAAGGGTCTATCCAAATCCAAATAACAACACTGATACCTCGATGACTCCAGGAAGCATTGCCTCATTTGTTGTTGTTGTTCAAAACGCATTGGATAGTGATATCAATGTCAACCTGAGTGCCTATACAGAACTGCCAGGTGGTTTCCATCAAGTTCAGCTACCAAAAAGCTCTTTTACGTTGCATCGCAAACCTGAGTCCCATACGAAGCTGGAGGTGCTGATCGACTGCACGCCTTCTATCGAGCTATCAAGGGGTACCAAAGCATCTAGGGTTGCACTGATGAATAGGCCCGTGATTGATTATTCTGATGATGACATGGTTTACGAGCACCGTCAGAACTACATCGTGGTACCCATGAAAGTTGTTATCCATGAGAACTCCCAGCCCCAGACCACCGTCAAGGTGCCCATATTAGTATCCTTCAAAGGCGAGGACGTTGCGGTAGCGTTTTGGTGTGTTCTAGAACTTGGTCAATGTTGTGCTGCGGCATGAGAGAGAACACCTCAATGAGTGGACTTTACCACGTACACACCACTTCCCTTGGAACCGACAACTTCACCACGCCTATGCTTCAGCCAATGTGACTCGATGCATGATATAATTTAGTTATTAACACCAGAACTGCCTCAACATTACCACTGGTCTACACTTCAAAGAGCAGTTCCATACATATTGAGCAGATTGGATCTTCAGGAGCACCAGGCTGTATCGATCTTCTGCTCAAAACTTGCTTATCCACTGAGCCTCTTAATGCACTCCGCCTTCGCCGGCCTGGTGCTACTCATCACTCAGTCTCCAAGTGCTATGTTTTGATTCTGCGTAGGTAAAAGCTTTTCTATGTGCTTTACGATGTAGTTTCGTGAGCCCTCGCTGACGCGGTTAAAAATTATGAAAATCACGGAAAACCTACACGAAATCAACACGCTCAGCACACAGCTCAGCACACAGCTCAGCCAAAACCACATTGCCTAACAATATGACAGACGAGACTACAATCCCACTAAACACGCTGTCGAGGCTGTTCCATGTCGCAGTCTTCGAGCATGACGACACCAGGATTACACAGCAGACACTGGAGATGAGTGCAGAGTATCTGCGGATGTTTATACGCGAAGCTGTGCTTAGGGCAAACGAGACCCGGATCTCAAGAGCTCACGACGGCGAGGACTCTGTTGTTACGGAGCAGCCTGTGAGTGATGTGCTGGATACAAAGGACCTTGATGAAATCGCAGGAATGATGGTGCTCGACTTTTAATGGTTACATAGTGTTAAGTGCAATGAATTTGCCTTGTTTTGTTTGCTATCTTCTTCTACTTTATGTAACGTCACGTTGTTCGGCTATACACATGGCTCAGTGGTCATGACTCCGTGCACATGACTCAGTGCTCATGACTCAGTGCTCATGATCGTTTGGATTGATCTTGAAGACCTTGTCTGGGTTCAACAGTCTTCTAGGGTCGAGAGCCATCTTGATTCTTCTCATCATATCAATTGGCTCTTCACCGAGCTCCTCCAGCAAGAACTCTCTCTTACCATAGCCAACACCGTGTTCACCAGTACAAGTACCCTCGACGTCAATAGCACGCTTGACCATATTCTGAACCAGCTTCTCAGCGATGGCTCTTTGGTCAGGTGTGTAGAGCAGGAACGCATGGAAGTTACCGTCACCAGCATGGCCCACAAGGGTAGCGGTCAAGCCGGAGTTCTCCATGTCAGCTTTGGTTTCAGATAAAACGGATGCCAGCTTGGAGATTGGCACTGCGACGTCGGTGGTCCAGATTTGGGTATCTGGGTGTTGCTGACGGCCCATGTTGATTGTAGACCAAAGAGCCATCTTTCTAGCAGACCACAGCTCGGAGATCTCCTCCTGGTTCTTTGCAAATTCGAAATGAGAAGAGTGGTTCTGGTGTGAGATGGAACGAACTTCAGAGATTAACTCGTTCAAGACAGTCTTGTTGTTGGCACCAATCTTGAAGAACAAGGTTGGCTTTTCAACCCAATGTCTGGTGGTTTCACCAGAGGCATTGACAACTTTCATCATGTTATCATCGAGCAACTCAACGGCATTAACCTGAATACCATGTTGAACCAAATCCTGGACAGTCTTGGAGGCATTGTCAATTGAGTCGAAGCTGACGACAGCAACTGTCTCCTCCCTTGGCTTAACGTGAAGCTTCAAGGTGGCCTCCGTGACAATACCAAGTGTGCCTTCAGAGCCGATAATCAAACCAGTTAAGTTGTATCCAGCAGACGACTTTCTTGGTCTTTTCTTGGTCTTAATAACAGTACCATCGGCCAAAACAACTGTCAAGCCTTCCACGTTCTCTTTCATAGTACCGTAACGAGCAGCGTTAGTGCCGGAGCAAGAGGTACCGATCATACCACCAATAAGAGCACCTGGACCTGGATCAGGGCCGAATAGCAAGCCCTTCTCGCCGAGGTAGTCGTGGAGATCTTCCCAGCTGACACCTGGTTGGACAACCAAATCCAGATCATCCTCGTTGAGTTGCAAGACCTTTGCCATGTTCTTGGACATATCCATGGTGATGGCTGGAGTACCTGTGGTTGGAATGTAATGGCCTTCCAAGGACGTACCACCTGAGAATGGGATCACTGGGATACGGTACTTGTAAGTGATCTTCATAATCTCGGAAACCTCCTCAGTGGAAGATGGGAAGATGATCAAAGTTGGTCTTTGGTCTTCAGTGGCATGGTGAGAGTTGAAGTAGGTGTCTGAGTGGTGTTCCAGTTCAGCACGCGAAGTGGCGATGTTCTCCTTGCCGACAATGGCAACGATCTCATCACGGGCCTTCTCCAGGTCCTCCAAAGTACCGTACACAGGAGGCTCGAGCTCATCGAGCTTGGTGGTGGAGCTGTCAGGGAACAGCTCCTTACTCTTGGAGTCGTCATTGACCAGGACTGGTTGAGTATACGCGAGCACAGCACCAGCAAGCACCGTGTTCACGGCAAGAGCCTTGAACCATAGCGAAGAGCACTTGGACGAGTTTTGACGCACAGTCGTCGATACAAGTCTGCGGCCGACTGAGAGACGGGCACCTCTAAGAGCTGAAGATCTGAACATTTGTGGTGGTTGGAACTCAGTTGTAGCAAGCTCAATTGATCCTAATATCAAGAAAGATTATCCTTCACCTTTGTATTGAAGAAAGGTATCAACAGTGGAAAAAACCCCCAAAAATTTTTTCCTTTCTCTCCTCGAGAACAATATATCAGTGAATACGTAATAAATCTCTATTATTCCCCAGATAGAGAGCATGCAACCGGTTGAATTGACACTTTGCTGGCGAGATTAAAACTGGGAGCGCAAAAAGCGTGGGGGTCATGGGGGCGCACGCTAAAGACCGACATAGTTAAGCAAAGGCGGTGTGCTTTCAATGGGCGAAGGAAGCTGTGATTGGGCACGTTACCGGGCCAGTGGTCAGCTCTTGAGACGTTGGACAGCGTGGTGATTGTGGGGTACAGTGAATCATGATTCATTTAGAAGAGAGCGATTGGTTTGGTTGACTTAGTGCTGTGGCTTTCCCTGCTGAGCTGTTAATCTGGGAAGCCATGTCGAGGCATCTGAGGGTTATGCGAACCCCCACCATATAGAGGTGTTTCGAGCTTGGAGCTGGAGTCCGGTACGGAGGGTTGTAGTTTCTGGTTAAAGCGGACAACCGGCTGAAGGTGGTGATGTGCACGTACAGGGCTCAGAGCCAATCATGTTGTGGTTAACTGTGGTTTCAGTAACCGTTGGCGCAGGCTGTTAATTAGCAGGTTGTCGGCTCTGGAAGTAGGGGGTACCTTCAAGAGGGTCTACAGAACTGAGAGTACTGAGGAGCTACACCAGCCAATTGGATGTTCAGATATACGCTTGTGCGCTCTCATAACTATTGCCATGCGTAATTGGCTCACAATCTGGGCTAACACGTATTCTTCCAAATTCCCATGTTGGCGACATTTCCGGTGAGCATCTCGAATCACGAGGTGTTCAAGTGGAGTCTGGACTTCACCTCGAGATGTACAGGGCTCTTTGTCGGAGTGGAAGTACAGACCTTCATGAACAGGATTGTTCTATGTACTGGTGTTTATACGTGTGCTCTCTGTAAGATTAGTCTTGTCCCGGTAAAGCACTACAAGGACCCTAACTACGATCTACATGTTAACACCCGGGTTTTAAGACTGTCCAAAATGAGAGGAACCAAGAAAGTACACAACGACTGTTACGAAACAAACGTCTGGGACGAATAGACAGAGTTGTTATCATAAATATGTATGCAAATGGTAGAAATTACTCATCTTCTTGTTATAGAGTCGAATTAAAACAGGAATATCAAAATGTCTATGAAGCCTTTATGTCTTATGCAAGGAAACAGCTATGCTTGCATAACTGACGCAAGAGCAGGTTGATGCTAAACTCTGGCTAATTATCTATTAAGCATCGCTGCTGTTAGCCATCGTGCTTGCTAAAGGCTGTTTCAATTGTAGAAAGTTTGAGGGTGTTGTTGTTTGAGGTTCTTGATGTTATTTATTTTGTTCTTCAGTAGGGATGAGTGAGTTCCTTGGGCTTTGTCTGGGACTCTGGGCTCTTAAGGTAATGTCGTTCGCTATTCTGTGGCCGGATTGCCTGTGGAGAAAATGTGCGTCAAGTTACAAGACCTAGCCATAAGATTGTTTGAAAAGCTGTAAGATAGTTTAACAAAGTGATGGTTGTCAGTGGAAACCTCTCATAAGCCGTGGTTTGATCTGGGTTTAGATCTTTAGATTGGAGTTGTAGTATGAATCCTTTCTCTCCGGTAGATTGAGCTCTTTCGGTCAAAAAGTTGTTGTAAATTCCATCAAATCATTTAGTGGTAGGGCTCTTTCTCGCTGGATTCAATAGATTTGACCATGGATATATGTATATATCTGTTACACAGCTTTTTGAAGAGCCATGGATGCAATGCTCGTGAAACCGTTTAAGCATACACTGTTGATGGCTCTAGCATCACCTACGAGAAGACTGTACAGCACTTGGACAGCGTTCAAAGTAAATATCAGCTGCAAATTAGACAGAAGAATGTTCTTAATTCATTTAACCTTTATAAAAACATAATACTGGTTTTTTCGTATATAAATAGATATCTCCTTATCTGGTGGTGCTCAGAACAGTGTAGGTATAGGTCTCTTGATACAATCAAATAACCACGTTGTGGAATCCGAATAGCGAAGAAACTACGATTTCATCTAGGCTCTGTCTTTTCTGATGAGAAAGAAAGTATGGTTGTTATCAATGAAATTGCATTGGAGAACTCAGAGTCATCGATCACTCTGTGGAAGAGATAGAAGAGCCCTGAAGAATACAACACTGGTCATATAAGACCAAGGTACCCAATTGGCATTCTTTTGACGAGCTTACAAATGAAAGGGAGTTCCTACTCAAACTCGACTGGTTTCTCACGAGCTCTGCTTGTTGTGGATATTTTATCAAGAGCTTGAATTAAACAACATCGGCACTACGTAGGCTAATGCTATGAGTGAATTCTATGATATGAAACGAAACATCCACAACCTTTTGGCGACCTTATGGACTTTCAGTCATGTCATTGGTCCAACCCCTTCTTGTTTGACTCTAGACGGAATATCTGCTCGTTATTACTGAGATACATTAGATTTAGTGAGGCTTTTTTTACTGTAATATTGGTATCTCCAGAATCTCTGAACTGGCTGTATACAGCTCATTTTCTCCTTGGAGCCTCACAAGCCGGTTTCTCTCCCTGGAATGGGAAACTTGATTCGGTCCTCGTACTCAAAAGAAGGACTTACCAAATGTTCTATTCTATCTGTCTGTTTAGGAATGGCAGCTAGTCTTATTTCTGGTCCACTTTAAGAGACAATTCTTCAATGTGAGTGGGCTCAAAACTATATGGAGTCATTCCATTGGATGGTTGTTATCGATGCTGTTATGATTGTTTCTGTTGCTGTGTTTACACTCAGTTTGCTGTCCTAATGCCCATTCCACCACCACAGGATTGTATTCCAGTAAAGCAGACATGCTGATTGCCCTTGAGGGACGTCGTGGTATAGGAGCCTAACTAAACATCGGTGGGAAATATACATGGAAAAAGATCAGATATTCCTTCAACACATGAAACAATTACACGGTTAGAGTGGTATTCCTCTGTTTCAGCTGTTCCAGTCAATGGAATGCTTCACAAGCATTTCAATTGTTGATGAGACCTGATTGCGCTTTGGACTCACACTACTAGAACACTTGTCCAAAACTAATCAACAGTGTTGGAAAAGCTCTGACATGTCTCTACCTCTATGCTAATTATTGTACAAGAGGCTATTTCAAGTCTTTCTTCCTAACCTGGATGCTCTTGATGGTGATTTTCTCATATACACTGTTAACGGTGTGTAACATATTAGAGGTTTCTATTGGTTCCCTCACTTCGCACACAGTATCCCACTTTCCTACAGTCTGCCAAAGATATTCTCTTGGAGAAATACAATGCTTTCCAACAGCCTTTTGAAGATGTAGTTGTCAGTACAGATACTCGGCCATATATCACTCAGGCACCAATTCCAATGTTTACACTTGACCAAAGTGGTATGCCTCACCTCCAGTACGGTTTCCTCTTTACGCTTTGCCTCGATGTGCTTGGGCTCTTTCCTACAGCACAGATTTGGTGTTCACAATACAGGCATAAGGGAAGATCAACTAGAGCCACTGCCGAAGAACAGATCCAGGTGTTCATTGACATCTAAATGCGCTGTAATTACTATTTGATGATCCTACAAAAGTACTGGTTTTCAAGTATACGTTAAAAACGTTCAGTCATAAAAGATCTATGTATCGAAATTAATTGGCATTAAAAGATTATGCGATTCCAGAACAAAACAAATGGACATCGCTAAATGTGTTGACCTGACTTTGTCAAGTCACCGAGGTATATCTATAACCATGTTTTCCTTAAGCAGTCTCAGCAGCTTCGGCAGGTGGTGTTGAGATAGCTTGAGAACCGAAGGCGGTTTCACCAGAAGCTCTCAATGAAGAGTTACTCAACTCCTTGTTAATGATGGCCTCAATGTCTGGCTTCTCACCAAGGTTGATACGCTTCAAGTCGAAGTCGTGGGTGAAGAAGAAGAAGGCACCTGGGATGATGATGAAAGTAATGATATCCAAGACACCGCAGAAGACAGCTTCAGAATCTGGTTGGATGACGTTACCACCTTCAGAAAGAGCCCATGCAATTGGGTAGATCAACCACATGAAACCGAAACAAGCAAGGTAGAGGGTGTAAATGTAGCCACAGTCCTTACCGATAGTAAGAGCGTTCTTTCTTGAGCACCACAAGTTGATCAAGGTCAAGAAGATAGCAACAACACCAACGGTGAAGTAACCCCATTTGTAGGTGGAGTGGACGACAGAACCGGCAAGGAATGCAATGACGAAAAGACCAGTCAAGAACATGTTATAGGTGATTTGTGGACGTGGGACGTTAGCAAACAAACCAAGAGTCAATGTGTGGAACGGGAAACACAAGAACCAGTTGATGGACTTCAAGTAAAAGACCTGTCTGTAACCTGGAGTAGTCTCTTGGTCATCAACAGTAACATGGTTAAACTCAGCACGAACTGGGGCCCAACCCAAATCAGAAGCCCAAGTAAAGTAAGCAACTGTCATAATCCAAGCTGGAACAACAGCTGTGTAGAAGAAGTATCTCTGTCTAAGTGGTTGCTTAAACATGAAGATGTGCATCACAAGAGCATAGGTTGCAAAACAACAGAAAGCAGCCCAAAGCCAGTCAGAACCATTGGTGGTGATGTGGAAGTCAGCACCAGTTGGAGCGTTGATGGACAAGGCCTCGTTTCCACGCTTGGCCAAGTCGAGATTAGTGTAGTAACTAGACATTGTTTATTGTTTGAATATGATTTTCTTTGATATCCGTTGATGAGAACGAGACTACCACTGCTCACAATTGCCATGAAACCGGGAAACTGGGCTCATTTATATACCACGTCGGTCTATGGAACGGATAACCGACTAACCCTCTCGAGCCCCAAACTCCAGTCTTCACCCACGCCAACAAACTCTTCTCAGGCTCTCCAAAATAACAACGTGCTTTTGATGCTGGGGACGTAGAAATCGCTCTTTCCCTCATACTCTAGAATAATTATCGATGGGTCCATATACCTCGCATGCATGCCGCATACATAAACAGTGCATATTCAACATATCAAACCGGGTAAAGGAAAAAGAAAAGCCTAGCAGTGTCAGCCGGCAAGAGGGAATGTACAGCAGGGACACGTAGAGTCAGTATCCTTCTGACAGGAAGAATCACGCGAGAATTGCAATGCTAGAAAGTGGTGCCAGTCAAGGGAAGAACACAACGGCTCATCAATGGGGCCATGGGCCAGTTTACGGAAAGCTCGCAGTGGAGGACCGTATTGTTGTGAAAAATTTTCGACGGCTCCCACACACGAAAGCCCTACGTGTGGTTGGACTTTGGTTTGTTGTTGCAACTACAACCGTATGTGTATCATATTTCCTATCTTGGGAAGATACCTCTTTTGAGACGTAAGTGGGTATAGCCTTAGTAAACAAACAACTGAACCGACCTCTCCCAGATACGAAAAGGCCACCCGATGGGGGTGAAACTGAGCATGTAGAAGGAGAAACTCGCTCTGAGGCCCGCAAGAGCGATTTTTACCACGTCGTCTCTCAATGTCGGCCAAAACCGCACAAATCTCGACTTGAGATGCCCCATGATCAGAGATGTCGTACTTTTTTTTTCACGCACGCTGTGAAGTGGTCAGTTCATGGAACCCATCCTCCGTGACTTCTACATAGTGAGCAAGACCTTATGCCCTCAAATAACTTTCATTGCAGGCACACGTACTAAGGAAAAAAAATTTGGTGCCAAACTAACATACGGGAATGTCGGCAAGCGGGAGAGCCAAGGCGTCGATGGGCCTTTGTGAGGAGGAAAATCCCCAGCAAAAGCACAACCTTGAAAATCCAAACCTGGGGAAAACAGCCCAGATTTGCACAGAAAGGTACCGATGCAATTTTGCACCCGGGCAATGAGAAAAAAACCTCTTCAGTTTGGGTGAGCACAGTGGTAGTTCACTAGGCAGCATTGAGTGCTTAGTGTGTCTGGTTGTTCAATGTTCAACAGCTCAGTCTCAGGTGTATGTTTCATCCAGTAGCGAACAGTTTGAGTGCTCGTAGTCAATGCCCGACAGTACTTTGGTGGGGAGTTAAGCCGAACCGGCGTTAGACTTCGGGAAAACCGCACCACCATGGCACGAAGTGTAAGAAATCGAACCTTTGAGCAGAAATTACACACAGGTCACACCATTGTTCAGATTGAGCTACAGTTGGAAAGTGGCAAAAGAGTTCAAAGTTTGGTATGCGAAATCATTCGTTTCCAGGATGTGTGGAAATAATAACCGTACGATCAATGAACAACTCATTGCATATACAGGTCAAGGCAACATGAGCCCAGAGTAGCTAATACTACAAACTACGAGGTGTAAATGCGCCATATAGCCTGTAGTTCACAGGATTCACAATGGGAAAAGACGTAGTTGGCAGCAGCATCTTTCGGCAAAGCAGAAAATGGATAGTTGTTGGACACCCCCGTCCTGGAAACCATAATAACATATCACGGCTCGAGTGAGCCCACAACAGACCAAATTACATCACACCTACATTCAAAAGGCCTGTTGTCGCAGTTATACCTTCCAGGCCTCTGTATTGTCTTTTAATTGGTTGAGAACACGGTAAGGCTTTAACGGCCAGACTCCGTAAACATGGGTCTGGCTTCTTGAGCTTGATGATATAATTACCGTTTCGGGTTCAAGAAAATCACTCAATTTATCTGTAAGTAATAAACCTAGCAGAGTATCTCATAGTATATCATGGCATGATCTTTTCTTATAACAGGAGGTATAAATCCTGTCAGGCAGTACAAAATCATTGATCTGATGTTCCATTGTTGGGCCTGTAAGGGTAATGACGGATGCTGATTGTATGAGGAAGTACTGTGAGGCATAAGAGGAGACCTCTGTGATAGATGTATGCTGGATACGTTGTCAATAGTGGCACCATACCTTCTTAGATATAGTCCACTAGGGGTTCCCTTTCAGTACTTACTCCTAATACTTGCTCTGCTGAAATCATAGATGATAGTCGCCCTGTTTAACATGTTGAACTTGACAGAACATATCAAATGTCACGAAAATGCCATGATGGTTGTAGGAGTAGGCTCACTAACTGGTCCCGGAGTTCAAGAGCGATTTATACCGCGACGTAATCTAGATCGTATATAGAATGGTAGGTAAATACTTGTAATTCGCCCTTTAAACAGTCATATCACAACTCTTCACTCGCCAATGAAAAGGAGAACATGAAAGAGGACGCGTTTGAGAGATCTTCTTGGTTCGCTTACGTCTGCTCGTAAAAACACCGCCTACCCAAAATTCAAACGTGTCCATACAGACCAACGGATACAGTGGAACAGCTGCTCAGCTACCAATGTCCGATGGACTTAGGGGTCTATAATTCATTGCTCAAATATCACCGCTACGGGGAATTTCGAAATTGAAAAAGTGTCAAAACTTTTTAAACACCGACACATCATGCAGCCTCATGCGCGCATATGTAAATAGTCAATGCGCGCTTTCTAGAGTAAATTCAAAACAATCTATAAACCACTGAACACAACAGGGGTGTCCTCTCGCTTAGTGAAGATTACAGAGTGGACCGTAGTCTATTAGCTCTAGAGAATAATATGATCTAATCAGAATTGGGTATGTATTAATTAAAAATTAAGTTAAAAGTGATATAAAATACTCCCATCTTTGTTGTTCAAAGGTCAATGTATTCAAATCATCAAAGATACATCAGCGTCAGCTTAATTACTGATAGCATAGCCATAGAGGGTAAACGTCAAGTGTATCAAATTTATGGGCTAGCAGCTGGTGCTGGAGCTGGTGTTGTACTTGCAGAGTGTTGTACTGTCTCACCAGAAGTTCTGCCAGAAACTGTGGATATTTCCTTGTTTGCAACAAATTGGAACTCTGGCTTGTTAAGACCAATACGTTCCAGGTTGAAATCGTAAATGAAGAAGAAGAAGACGGCTGGAATGAACACGAAAGTGATCACATCCAGGACACCGTAGAATACAGCATCGGAATCTGGTTGAATAACGTTACCACCATCGGCAAGGGCCCAAGCAATTGGGTAAACCAACCAAATAAAGACAAACCCAGAAGCGTAAAGAGTGAAATAGAAGTGGCAGTCTTTACCAACTTCCAAAGCTGATCTTCTAGAAGTGGTGAACAAGTTAATTGCAGTGGCAAAGGTGGAAGCAACAGCAAAGGTGAAATAACCCCATTTGTAAGTTGACTTGACCAAGGAACCAAACAGATAACCCAGAATTGAGATATCAGTGAAGAAGATGTTGTACGCGGTCTGGACGCCAGGTGTGTTGGACAAAAGACCCAAGGCAATTGTGTGGAATGGGAAAGCCAGGAACCAAGCGATAAATTTCGCGTAGAAAATCTGTCTATAACCTGGGTGAGTTTCTTGGTCATCAACGGTAACGTGGTTAAACTCGGCCTGGATTGGAGTCCAACCCAAGTTAGATGCCCATGTGAAGTAGCCGATAGCCATGATCCATGCTGGCACCACAGAAGTGTAGTAGAAGATTCTCTCCTTGACTGGCTTTCTAAACATCAAGACGTGCATGATCAGAGAGTAGAGTATGAAAACACAGAAGGCTGCCCAAAGCCAATCCGAACCACTTGAAGTCAAATGGAAGTCAACGCCAGTTGGAGGGTTGATCTCGATAGCTTGGTTACCTCCCCGTTTTATTAGTTGGATTTCGTTGATTGAAGGCATATCGTTTCTTTTCCTATGTTCTTGAAAAAGGACTAATTTCTCTTAGTGTTACTAGAGTAATAAGGGATGTAGGAGAAACATCAAACAGTGAACAGCGATGAGGAAAAGAGAGGTTCCCGAGGCTCCTTATATAGTTTTGAAGAGACTGCTGTTTTTGAACAACCGGGAAGAGCGGTCATGTCATCGACTTTACCTCAGAGGCATTTTAGAGAATGGAGAGTCACCTGTATGTATTTTACCCAAATCCGTAAGAATACCCATTTACCAGGAACGCATACAACACAATACATGATAATTAGCGGGATTACATACGTCTATGACACCCTGACGCACAGTAATAGCGAAAAATCGCTATTTTGTTGCCCCTTGGAAAAACAGCGCTTCGTTCGGCTGCGCCATGCGCTTCAGCTTTTCCCCTTCGTCTCCCTTTTCCGTCTGGACGGAAGAGATTGGGCGCTCCGGTGAACGGAGCTCGTGAACAGAGCTCGTGAGCGCTAGGCAGAGCCCTTCGTTCCAAACTAAATGAAGGATTTATAGCTTGCGTTAACGACAGTTCTACTCCCCCCCCCAATCGTCATGGCCAACCAATTGAATGCTGTATCGCTTTACGGACGACAGTGGTCACAGATCGTCAATTGCAGCTTGTTTGATCTACGCTGATCGTATAGCAAAGGGCATCATATAAGTTATCGGATCTTGCTGAGCAGCGTTGCAATCCGTGATCCCCGCGAGCATTTCCCAACGTGATGGCCCCAAAAAGCAGAAAAAAACAGGTTGAGCTCTTTGACACAAAATGCATAAAAGATTTTATTGGTACGCGCACGGTCGCATGCGTGTGTGTGGTTTTGAACCTCTTTGCATTTCTCTAAGGCGCTTTCGGCCAGACTTCTACAACATGGCTCTTCAACACGACGAGAGATGCAATACGGGCCATACGGCAAGGCCCGTGATGCAACAACTGCACTGCAGTCTTAATATTACTGGATTGGGGAGTTCTTCTGAAACCGGAAAGTGTATACATTTAACGTGGAGCATGAAAGCCGTGGTTATGCAGCATGCAGTCGTGGGTCTTCCTGGATAGAGCGGGTTTTTAGGATCATGGAAAAAGATGGAAGATAGAAGAAACAAAGGAGCAGTTGAGTGCTTTTTTTTGACTTCGTGCGTTGTAGTCTCCAGTTGTGGCTCCTCCATTGAGTCTACAATGTGCATGTCAGTGTGTGATACTATGTGTGCAGGCTCTTTCCCGTCTCCGCAGACGATGCTGGGCCTTGAACATCGAGCACCATTACGTATGTCGCCTCAATTGAACAATAGGTGAGGTGTTTCAATGCCGGTAGGTGGAAGTTATTTGCTGAGAGGTTACGAGACGGCTCTTCTCGGTTGTCTCAGACTGGCCTGGGTCAGTCATATACGTCAGGTTGTTTTTCCCCTTCTCGGCTCCTCCGGTTCTTCGGTTACCATTACCGAATTTTTTTTTTGTTGACTTTCCATTTTACTTTACCTTCTTCGGACCTTATGTTGTTTTTGTTTTTGGGGAATCCAGCGTACCCCTATTTGGCTCATCTTCAGCTAACAACCTGTACGCAGAAGTTGCTCAACTTGGTAACACTGGTGAGTTCATAGTAACCGATACCGATATTCAACATCACATATGCACACAGACGACGTACTACATAAAGACTACCTATATCGTACTCAGAAATGCCATTTCAATGGTTCTCCTACCAGTAATGGCAAATTGTAAATAGACAACGTTGTAAAGAGTCTCCATAACTGAGTTTACGGCTTAACTTGTTCGGCCTCACGTACCTATATACAACTGTCGTTGCTGTGCCTACGGTGTGGGAGCCGCGAGGTAACTCGGGTAAGCACATACACAGGTAAACAAATAAACAAATAAACAACTACAATTGGGTAAACAAAACTGATTGTCGCATGAATATTAAAAACAGAGCCTCTATAAAACGAACCTATTAAATTGCTCCCATTTCGATAAACCACGGCAGCTATACAAATATAGCACTCTATAAAAAGAAAAAACCCGAAGCAGACACAGCAAGAACAATCGACTGTGATTTGGGTGACAAATATGGTCAATTGTTTATGTGCTCAACACTTCAGAAGAGGCTGAAAGACAATTTAGGCCTCCTTGGATGAATCTCTTCCGAAAACACCAGTTTTGATCCAGTCCATAACGACTAGACATCTGTTTCTGAAAGAGAGGCACATTGCAACGTAGGAGACTTTCCAGAACAAAAAGGTGAAGGAACCACCAAGGGACAATTTGTGCCAGTTACCCCAAGACAAATCAGCAATGGCACGCTCAGAACCAATGTAGGCCAATGCACCCAAATGGACGTACTCGAAAGGTGCAAAGTTTGCCAAGTTATCAATCTTGGAAACAATCTTTGCCTTTTCACCAGTTTCAGTGGACTTGTTAAGGTCATAACGCAAGGAATCGATGGCTGCCAAGTTCTTCAACAATTTAGCGAGGTAGATACCTTCTTGGTATGCAACTTGAGCCGTTGGTGCGAATTTCTTGGACAGTGTACAATCACCGATACCGAAGATGGAGTCATCTCCAAGAACTTTCAAGTATTCCTCATCGATCAACAATCCACGGTTGGCAAAGGTTTGTCCATCCAACTTCTTGGCCAAGTTAACAGTGACATCACGAGCACCGTTACCGGTGGCCCAGACCAACACACCATAAGGAATCTCTTCAATCTCAGTTGAACCATCATCCTTCTTGATAGCTGCTGTGATCAACTTACCATCAACTTTCTTAACCATTGTCTTCAATCTCAAAGCAATTTTTTCCTCCTCAAAGGTGTCCTGAGCATACTTGATCAATTCCTTGTCAAACATGTTCAAGATGTTTGGCAAACCTTCAACCAGAGTCACAGTGATATCTTGTGCAACACCTGGGTACCACTTAGTCAAATCCTGGTCAACGAAATCTTGCAATTCACCGGCAAACTCAACACCTGTTGGGCCACCACCGACAACAACAAATGAGAGCAATCTCTTTCTCTCTGTGTCCTCCTTTGGCAAAGATGCAGCGAGTTCAATGTTCTTCAAGATCTTCTGTCTAATCTCTTGAGAATCTGGAACCTCTTTCAAGAAGGAGGCATTCTCGTAGACACCAGGAATTCCAAAAGTGTTTGGCTTAGCACCAACAGCCATCACCAAATAATCGTAGTGGATTTCATTAGTCTCACCATCAGCTGATTTGATAGAGACAATCTTCTTCTTTGGGTCAACATCGGTGGCCTCCGCCTCGTGGTAGACAACCTCGCCTGTGAGTCTTCTGCAGATGGATCTAATTGGCTCAATGATGGATCTCAGCTCAACTGTTCCGGTTGGAGCAGATGGCAACAACGGAGTGAAGAGAAAGTAGTTTCTTGGAGAGACAACCACAACGTTATACACAGTTGTGTCCAATCTCTTCAACAACGAGACCGCACCCCAGCCGGATCCCAGAATCACAACGGTCTTTCTTGGTGCACCGTTTGGCAGAGTTGCGGCTTGAGGCTGTTGCTTACCTGGGTTAGACTCATCGTAGATTTGATAAGAGACGTAGGCAGTGGCCAGGAGTGTAGAGATCCATGTGGTTCTCCATGCGATTTTGCCTGCTCTTCTGATGAAGGATGGCTTCTTCACAGGGACCGCCTTGGCGGACTGAGCCTTTGAGGCGCTCTCTTGAAACACCCTGGCGGTAGTAGAGATCAGTCTCTTGGAGGCGAATCTTGGAAACATTCTTCTGTATCTTGTCTATAAGCGTTGAATATTAATCGATGGTACTGACGGAGACAGTGCTGTTTATATGTGTGTGCGGGTGTTTTTCTTGTCTCAAAAGCACCAGCGGGACGAGCAGCAGCTGTGGTGAACTTTTCGATAACGGCGGGAAGGGAAAAAACCTCTCAGTGTGGTTGTGATTGAATGCTCTTGCCGCACCGGTTTGTGTGTGGATGTTTTTTATACGCTAAACTGGACCAAAATCACCAAAAGACGCTTGATCACGAGTCAACACAGATGGTTCAAAAACAAATCCAATGGGTGAAATGAACCGAAACGAAGAGTTATAAGAGAAAGAGAAGAAGGGATTTTTTCTTCCTTTTTTTCTCTTGCGCAGGTGAAAAATTTCAACTCAGAGAGATAGAATCAACAAAATGTACACAGAAACCAGTTGCATTTGGCGAGTGCAGCCGTTATAATTTGCGTGCGCGCTCACCAGCGGAGGGGGGGTAAGCGATGAGGTGTGTCCGGTACCAAAGAAAAAGAAAGGAGGCTCGGTCGCCCTGTGCCTCTTTCCCTCTGTGGGAGGTGGGCCAGTGACGGATTGGCTATTATGGCTTAGTTTCTGAATGGACGATGGCGTGTAGGTGCCAATTGGCTTTTACGTGGGTGTTTCTCGTGTGCTGATCGCCCATATATCCTTGTTCGCACTGATTGTTTGGTTTGGTAAGGGAGCCATATAGCAATGACTCACTCGCCAGCCTTTGCGGCCTTTTGGTTTCAGCCGTATGCCTCTTCGCAATTCTGTGTAGCCTAAGTGCGCGCGGGCGAATCACCACTGGCGTGTCGTTTTTCCGCGCGCGCACTCACAGAGGTCACCGCCCTCGTCGCTACGTAGAGAAAAACGTTTCTTTTTTCACTGCGAAACTTGACAAGGTCCGGTTGATCTGTAATGGATCAATTAAGGTGGAAACCGGATTGTGTCCAATGGGCTGTTGGCTCCGAATTGTGTCCGTGATCTGCTTCTACTGTTAAGAGCTGATTGTCCATTGGCGAAGCACTTGGTTCGGAAACCCATTTCCTGTTGCTTCTGCCTCTTTTTTGGCGTGTACTCTTGCGGCCTCCGTTAGACCCCTCTCTTAAGTCTCTGTGTGCGTGTTTTTTTCGGCGCGCGGGAAGGCTGCGGCTTCCTATTGTAATTTCCGATTTTCGCTCTCTTTGGACGCATCAGTTGATGGTTCATATTCGCACGCGGGAGGGTAACAGCATTGAGAGGCCACGTGATCCAGGGAATGGAGCAGGGAAAACGAAGCACGACGGTGTGTGGGTGTCAATTGACTCGTCATCGTAGATGAGATCGTAGATGGGGTTAGCGGGCGATCGGTTTCCTGTGGTGGCTGTCTCCACTCAGCTCTAGTGGGTCTAAGTCTCGCTCACTCGTTTTGGCAGCTTCCATGCTCTCGGTGGACAGGTGTGAATGGCTTCTGTAAGGGACGACACGGTCTCTAGTGGCCATGCCGTGCCAATTGCTTCCAACTTGCAATACCTCTTGAGCCTCCATCATCAACAACACCACCTTCACGAACTACGGGTCTCTACAGCTCCACAACAGAGAACCACCATCACAACCTCCAATACCTCAACCACTCTGCGCATCGTCCAGAGCTCGCACATATCAACGCCCATGCGCTATCTGCGTAAACTCCGAGTTTTTCTTCGGAGATAATAAAATTCCAGAAAATTCCAACACCGAGCGACACTTTTCCCAGCCCGAAAAAAAGAGGCGAAACGTTTCACAAAACGCTTCCAACATCAAAACAAAGGAAGGCTCTTTGTCATCGAATTAAGAGAAACAACCGCTATAAAGCATGTCTGACCTCGACTTTGAAACCCCAGATCCAAATCTGAAGTCCATCATCACTCACGACACCCTGAAATGGATCTTTGTGGGTGGTAAAGGTGGTGTTGGTAAGACAACCTCTTCGTCCTCGATCTCTATCCAGCTGGCGTTGAACAACCCAAACAAGCAGTACCTGTTGATCTCCACTGACCCTGCTCATAACTTGTCGGATGCCTTTGGTGAGAAGTTCGGCAAGGATGCTAGAAAAGTCACTGGTATGGATAACTTGTCGTGTATGGAGATTGACCCAACATCGACCATTGAGGATTTGAGTGCGGACGTTGATATGGATGGCAATAACCCACTGAAGGGGATGATGGCTGATTTGACCTCCAGTATCCCAGGTATAGACGAGGCGTTGTCGTTCATGGAAGTGATCAAGCATATCAAGAACCAGAACAGCACAGAGAAGGCTGAGATCTCCTACGACACAATCATCTTTGATACTGCGCCAACTGGCCATACGCTGAGATTCCTACAATTGCCACAGACCTTTTCAAAGCTACTGGCCAAGTTCGATGAGCTTGCTGGCCAGTTTGGTGGGCTTTTGGGCTCAATGGGTGGTGTTGATACGAATAGCATGATGAATAAGATGACGGAGCTGAAAGAACTGACCAAATTGATCAATGAACAATTCACTGATCCAGATGTCACAACTTTTGTCGTTGTCTGTATTGCTGAATTCCTCTCGCTTTATGAATCTGAGAGATTGATTCAGGAGTTGAACTCTTATGGTATCGACGTCAACACAATCATTGTAAATCAGCTGCTTTTCACACAGAAAGAGGATCCTTGCAAAAGATGCCAGGCTAGATCCAAAATGCAGAACAAATACCTCGGGGAGATGGATGAACTATACGAGGACTTCCACCTTGTTAAGATGCCATTGGTGAACACTGAGGTTAGAGGCTTGGAAAAATTGACAAAGTTCTCAAAGTTCCTGGTCGAACCTTACGTTCCAGGTGGATCAGTTGACTTAGATTAAGACTGTACTTTGGCTTTTTTAATGAATAAATCACATATCTCCCCTTTATATATAGAATTGGCTATTTTACAACGATTTTGTAGTTGGTGTATGTGTATGTTTTCCAGCTCCACTGTCATCCGAAGTGCCACCTTTATCCATTAATTCTCCCCCCTCGAAATATTTCGAACCATCACCTCATCTCATACAACCACATCTTCAGACTCAGTCCCACACACACGGTTTGAATAGCAAGACAATGCTGATCACTGAGGGATACCATGACGTTCAAACGTCCTACAACACTACTCTTCGTCTGTACACTTTCCATCCAAAGATTCCTGGTTATCCAAACGCCAAATTCCCAGGTGTGGTTGTCTATTCAGAGATTTATCAGGTTACAGGCCCGGTGGCCCGTTTTGCTAAACGAATTGCAAGCGAAGGCTACATCGTCGTTGCACCAAGTATCTACCATAACTTTGAAGGACCTGAGCCTTTGAACTATGATGTTGAAGGTACTGATAAGGGTAACAAGTACAAGATTGAAAAACCGTTGGAGAGTTATGATGAGGACAACAAATTGGCAATTGACTACCTCTTCACATTGAACACTTTCAGTGGTAAGGTTGGTGCTACAGGTATGTGCTTGGGTGGTCATTTGGCCTTTAGAGCTGTGTATGACTCGAGAGTCTCAAGTGCTGTTTGCTTCTTCCCAACTGATATCCACAACCACAGGCTGGGCAAAGGCGAGAATGACGATTCTCTTGCAAACTCCATTAAACTAGCAAGAAAGGATGCCGAGTTCGTCTTGATTTTTGGTACATTGGATAACCACGTTCCACCAGAAGGCAGAGACCTCATCAGAAAGACATTGAGAGACAACAACGTGAACTTCACATTCATGGAGTTGAACGACGCTCAACATGCTTTTGTCAGGGACGAGTCGAGTAAGGGAAGATATGACAGTGCCATCACATCTGCCTGTTTCGGGTTCCTCTTTGAGCTTTTCAACAGAAGATTGAGAACTGACTTAGGTGAAAATGACGGCAAGGATATTGTTGTTGAAAACGTCTGTTGAAGAATACATCTACACGAGTATCCGTCTAAATCCTGTAGTAATAAACCAATAGAAAAGGATGATTCCAATCTATCCCCACACCAATTTCTTAAACTTGTGCTCCATCATTGCAATAACATCTGTCGATGCATCCTTTGTCGTGATTATATCTTTATTCTCCAAAGTAGATGAATGACAAGTCTTGGAGATAAGATTGATGATGTGCTTCACCTTACCGTAATCCATATTCTGAGGGAACTTTATTGTTACGAACTTCTCCTTGGTTGCATTGTCAGTGGTGTCTAAGGAAGGCATTGTATGAACAGACACTATGAATTTCAACCCAATGTTTCTTCTAGGGTTTGTAGAAATTGAATTGTGCCTTGAAAGGATATAAGTTCCATATTCCAACCCTTTCACGTCCTCCACTGGGATCATTACAGATCTGATGATCTTACTTGCAGTGCTGTCAAACTGTACCAGATATATGATTCTGTTCGTCAAGAACACCGAAGTCTCTCTGAGATCATTCCTTAACTTTAACGTATCGTATTCCAAGGGACTTTGGAATCCTGACCAAGATCCAAGAATAATTACATCGTCTGGTATTTCTAGCTGCTCCATAGCCTTGTTTAACTGATCACTCTTTTTGTTAAGGTCGTCGACAACTTCGTTTGGATCCAACACGTTTAGCGTTGATTCGAATTCTTCGAAGATTGACTCGTTCGCATGTCCGAGGAGGAAATCGATGAAGCATTGTTTAGAATAATCGCTGATGTACCCGTTGTAGTATCTGGACATTGTCAAAAAGGCGTCGTTCAACAACCCCTTATAGTTTCTCTTGGACGTTCTGGTAAAGTCACCTTTCAAGGCACCTGTGGATGCATATTGCCTCGATATGAAGTCACCATTATCTGCCCACAAATTATTAAAGAGATTTTGAAACTGGTGATCTGTTGACAGTCCATACTTTTCAAAAATGTAATCCTTTAAAACATGTTCAGCAAGAAACTTCTGGACCAAGTTCGTTCTATCAAGACAATCAACGCAGTTGATTCTAAAGATTCCGGTTTGGCTTGTTTCAGCTATTGAATCAAACAGGCCGTATTCGTGGAGCTTTCCCTCAACAGTTGAACCATCATCGTTTTGTAAAGCCTCATCTAAGAGCTTCACAACGTTTTCAAACTTCATCTTTTTACAAACTTCGTGGAAGTCGAACCAGCTAAGTTCCACGCCATACTTTTCACAGAGTCGTTCATAACAGTCTCCAATCAGGACCTCCTTCTTTGATCTTTCAACTAAAGAAACACAAGTAATCTTGTGGTAACTTGTATTCAAATTGTTGAAATGCTTTTGGAATGGCTCCTCACATCTATCCAGTGGTCTTGTTAAAAACGGAATAGGTTTCAAATTTGCAGGGTTTTGCTGGAAAAATATCGGTATGGAGCCTCTGATGATGTCAAATTTGGCAAACAATGGTGTCTTGTCATCGAGGAGCTCTTCCACGATCAAGATTTGAGACGTTGATACAAAATTAGCAACGTTACCATTGTCGTCGATACCACGTCTCAAATATCTTGAGCCGGCACGATGAGTAGATCTCTTAGACAAGAGTAAGAGCTGACCAGTCTTCGATTCTGTCCCAACCTGTGGGAATATAAGATCAATTGAGCCGACAAACCCTTGAATCAATGGAGCAACTAGCTCTCTTGGGAATCTGTATGAGATATGGCTGTTGAAACAAAACGAGTTGTTTGGTTCGTTACAGTTCTTCACTTGAATCTGACCATCTTTGTAGATGATATCCTTCGTAATGTTCAATTCGTTGGAGTAGAAGAAATCACCTGTACTAAAGAACGATGCCAGTTGCTTCTCAATCTTTCTCAACATACTAGTGGAGATGTGGGAATGGTTATTGGCCTCGTAGTAATCCTTAGACTTGTCAAAGATCTTTGAAAACGGATCATCCTTCTGCTGTGGTGGTAATCCCCTTATAGTGATCGATCTGCTCAGTTTAAACGACTTTATATCAGATTCTTTGAGCTCAGAGTTTGACGAGCTTGCTGATTGATTATCAAACAATCCATCGTTCTTGTTGCTCACTTCCTCCGTTGAAAATGATAGCGACGGGTTGGAACGAAGATCATTGACATAGACACCCAGCTTACTGAAGAACATCTCCTTCCCCCTATTGAGCTGATCTGTGATCTTCTCACCAATATTATCATTTGATTGTGCAGTTGTGTTGCTTGTACCATCACTGTTCTTCACGCTGGACACATCACTGTCACCCTCACTCTTGTCACTCTCCTCCAGTTTGAAGTACACTCTTGCCAGCTCGTACTTGAGAGGAATAACCAACGCCTTCGTAACGTTCCATATAGTGACCTCCTCCCTTTCAAAAACGGGCTTCTGGGTGTGGATGACAACTAGGAACCCAGGACCGATATCCAGTGCACCAATCACACCAAGCGCCCTTATGGTCGCCAACCGCTGTGTGCCAACACATCCATCGACAACTTTGATCCCGTCAAAAGTGAGGAAGCACGCCTCAGTGCCCTCACGCTCCAACGATAACCCATCCTTGTACAATCCAACGGTTATGTAATCAGCGTAGTGCTGTGAGTCTGCAGATGTTCTCGAGCTTTCCACCATTGGCTTGGGAGTTGATGCTATAGAGTGCGGAGCAAGTGTGTGTGGTGAAGCTGTTCGAATCGTACTTTAGCGATAATCCGTAAATCTGGGTGATATAAATTTTGGAGATGAGCACTTAAACGATAAACGAAAGTTATGTAAACAGTGCGTAGCGGGAACGTTTTATATAACCGTACGCCATCGGGGCTGAGAAAGAAAGGGCTTAAACGCATAGATCTTCTTCCAGCCTGGTCGATAGCAACGAGAGAGAGGAAATATCGATTGTTCTGGGCCATTGTCGTTGATCTTTGTTAGAAGTTGATGTTTTGTGCGGTGTGTGGTTCTGCGATCACTGTTTACGGGAGATATGAACCAATGTGCTGGGATCACCAAACAGGGCCGTAGGTGTCGAATCAGAGGTACAGGAAGATACTGCCGATACCATGATCCAAATGTGAGAGTGAACGAGGTAGCTAAGCAGAGTCGATTACCCGATAAGGGGTTTATCTACGTGTATACATTGGAACACTTGCTTGAGAAATCGCCAAAGAGACAGGAATGGCTACAGATCCAGCCTCTGAATTCGAAGGAGTTTCAACCGTTCAATCCAAAGAAACATATACTGATCAAGGTTGGAATGACACGAGGTTCAGTGGAGAAGCGTGTGAGGCAATGGCAAGTACAATGTAACCATAAGATTGTTATTGTTGACCCGTACGAACACATAGGCTCTCAATCGTTGGTGACAATGTTCAAGTGCCTCAGTGTGGAGGAAGACTACAACCACTATAACACCATCGACAAAGGCTTCAAATGCTCTCAGAACTTGTTCAAAGTGGAACAGCTCATCCACAACAAACTGAGGGACCAATACGGTAGAGGCGATGTCCATTGTAAGAGTTGTGAAGACCAAGGACGGTCGGGCCTTCACGTCGAATGGTTCAAGATACCTAAAAAGTCATTGAAGAAGGTTTATACACTGATAGATACAACCATAGATCAATTTACAGCAGATTAGGGTCCATTAAGTGGGTAGATGATAACCATACTAAGTTGAACCAGTTCCGGATTGGCACGTGATATGACACGTGCCTTTTATCCTCGAAATTTCATGAAATTATTTTTTTTCCTTCACTGCGAACACAGTGAAAAAAAATCTGAGAAGAATCGAAGAGACTATGAAGAAGCATCCTTTTACCGTTCATTTATTGATCAACACTAATCCCATTGCCAAAGATGAGACCTATTATGCTTAAGGGACATGAGCGTTCCCTGACTCAAGTGAAATATAACAAGGAGGGAGACTTGATCTTCACGGTGGCCAAGGATAAAATTGCAAGTGTGTGGTACTCTTATAACGGTGAAAGAGTTGGAACCTATAACGGACACCAAGGTACAATTTGGTCTATCGATGTTGATTCCAAGTCTGAATTCTGCTTAACCGGGTCTGCTGATTTCAGTATGAAACTTTGGGAGGTTTCCACTGGTAGATGTCTCTTTACATTTGACCAAGATACCTCTGTGAGAAGAGTTGAGTTCGATCCATACGACAACAGAATCCTTGCTGTTACTGATAAAGTTATGGGTTTCCCTGGTTCTATTATCACATACAAGATCAACCGTGACTCCCCAACTCAACAAGATACGACTCCTCTCTTAAAGATTGACACGAAAGAAGGATTTGAAAAAGTTTCCGTTGCTGGGTTCAGTTACTTGGGCAAGTACATCGTTGCAGGTCATCAAGACGGTACGATTTCTAAATATGATGCAACTACTGGTGCGCTCATCGGCTCTGTAAAGGCACACGAAGGCTTGATCACGGATATCCAATTCTCTGAGGACAAGACCTATTTCATCATCTCTTCAAAGGACAAGAGTGCATCCATTTATGACGTTGATAACTTGAAGCAGTTGAAGAGATTCGAAGCCGATGCTCCAATGAACTCTGCTGCCATCACTCCAGTTAAGGAGTTTGTCGTTCTTGGTGGTGGTCAGGAAGCTAGAGACGTTACCACCACTGCAGCCAACCAAGGTAAGTTCGAGGCCAGATTTTACCACAAGATCTTTGAAGATGAGATTGGTAGAGTGAAGGGCCACTTCGGTCCTCTCAACTACATCGCAGTGCACCCTAGTGGCTCAAGTTATGCCAGTGGAGGAGAAGATGGTTATGTTCGTGTACACACTTTTGAAAAATCATACTACGATTTCAAATATGACGTTGAAGTGACTGCTGAGGCCAAGGCACATGCTGGAGAGCAGTGAGCAGCCGGTATACGTTACATAGTTTGACATAGTACTGGCATAGTCAACTGTTGTATAGAAATTTTGTTTTTAAAAGACGTCTACGATGGAATCATTGCCTACATAGAGAAAGCACCCCATTTATAAACGATCCTACGAGGAATAACTAGCAAAGGACAGCCTCTGTCACAACAACGACGGCAACAAGGCAACAAAGCCACCATCTCAAGCTTTACCGGCAGCAGCCTTCTTAGCATCAGCTATATAGAAATCATGGTTAGTAAACAAAGAAAACGTAAATCACGCACATGTAAACTTGTACAGAGGGGGACAACGCACCTTCAGCCTGTTTCTTTCTCATAATCTCAGCCTGGGCCTCAAGTCTCTTTCTTGGATCACCTTCCTGCTTGTTCTTCTGAGCTTGAAGCTTCTTCTGGTTCTTTTCTCTAGCCTTTTCTCTTTGGTTACCTCTTGACATAGTTGCTTAAGTACCGGTTTCCTCCAACTTCAAAAGCGATGTGGAAAGAGGCATCGGTAACAGTGCTAAAATTTCACCCTCCAACATTGATGCAAAACATCCAGACATCTACCAATTTGCTGGTGAGCCGGTGCCCGGGGCAGAAAGTTCATGCCCATCAGCTGTTTGGACACGGGTACGAATGGTGGGATCAGGCGATTCCCCTACGATATGAGTGAACCAACAGAGGAGGAATTGAAACAACAGAAGCTTGAAGCTGGGCTCAAGAAGTATCAGGAGCTGAAGAAGAAGAAGAATAAGAAGAAAAACAAGAAGAAGAGCGAGGATGTTGATGAGGAGGAGTCTGACTTGGTTGAGAAGGTTGACGCGTTGAACGTTCATGAGAGTCAGGAATCTTCTGTTGAGCCAAATACCGCTGGGATTGATGACGAATGTGCTGAGGTAGAGGTTGTAGATGATAAGGCTACTGATGCTGTTGAGGACAAGCCTACTGACGCTGGCGATGATAAGGCTACTGACGCTGTTGAGGACAAGCCTACTGACGCTGTTGAGGACAAGCCTACTGATGCTGTTGAGGATGAAGCTGCCAATGGTGAGGCCCCAGAGAAAGTAGAAGAGGTCAAGGAAGACCTCCCAGAAACAGAGCATGTCAAAGAAGATGCAGAAGAAGATACAGAAGAAGCTAAAGATGTGTCCAAGGATGAACTTAAAGAAGTATCTAAGGATGAACCTAACCCTGCTGACGAACCCTCTCAAGAATCTAATGATCCTGTCTCATCACTTTTCGGTGATTCTGGTCCTGGTTTCATGGAAACCATTCAACAGGCCAAAATTGACGATGAAATTGCTCAATTGAAGAAGCAGAACGAGGAGCTGAAGAAGACTAATGCCGAACTCAGCGAGGCCAACGCACAGTTAAAACTAGACAACAAATCTCTCAAGCTACTCAAGATTGACCACCTCGATGAGATTGAAACATTACAAGCACAGGTTCAGGATCTCACTCTCAAACTGTCGAGAGCGAAAGCTGATGCAAGCACTACCGCTCCGTCTCATTCCGGATACGATTACCAAGATGACAACTTCACCTTGTCGCCATCGCCTACGTACCAGCAACCTCCAATCACGTCCACAACATTTAGCCAATTCAACCTCGATAAGAACGAAAGCACGCTAAGCTTAACAGAGTTAAAGGCAAGGCTAAACAAATGGAAAGGTTGGAACGTTGATATGACCTCCTGGAGATCTGTCGGCAGCGGCCCAATCGTCACGCTTTGAGGTCAGTTGCACTACACCGGATCAATGCTAACAACAAGATGCCTTGTCTATATATATACAAGTGAATAAATTCCGCTATAAACTGTAGCTGGCTTCTCTCCCTTAAATGATACGGCATAAAACCTCACCGCCCTTGTGCTGAGCAGCAGCTTCACCAAGCTCGAGGATCTCGTTGCCCGTCTTCACCAGCACAAGCTCAGAAGGCTGGATAGGTCTAATCTGTCTAACAGACTTACCATTGGCCAGCTCCTTCATCTGCTCCGGAGACACCTTGATTCTACAACTTGGCTTCGACACTAGCTGGAACTTGGAAATCACAGACTTGGAGTCCCTGTACTTCAGCCCAAGCCACAGTCTTCTGGTCGAGATGTTGTCAGGTGTCACCTCCACTGGCGTAGCGTCTGGCCCCGTGAGCGACCCTCTCTGTATGGAAGTGATGAATCCTTGCTTGTACAGATGTGAGGCAACTTGGAGATGTAGCCTTGTGTATGGGATCGAGGTTCTACTCAGATGGACCCTCGTGACGTTTTGCAAGTGAGCAGCAACGTTGGCAAGCTTAACAAGTGACATCTTCCCGCTGTGCTGTTTGTTCTGTTGGAATCCCTGAGTAGCGAGCGATTTGGCCTCGAAGCTGCTTTGCTGGTGCTGTTGAACGTTTTGTGATTTTTTCTCTCTGGCGGTTATGTTTTTTTTTTTTCTCCCTCTCTTCTGGCTTTGTGGCCCACGAAGCTCTGCGCGGGCTTTCGGTTTTTGTAGGCTGGTGCAACTTTTCCCTAGCGGGAAAATTTCATCAGCTGTGATGGGATGACTTACTCCCTGTTCACAATTGGACGAAACAGCGCCTATTTTGTAGCAATGTTTGGTGTGAAAAGGCTTAGTGCTCGAGTGCTTGCGCTGAGAAGTGGGATCAAACCACATTTTACGAGTTTCCCTCGAGTTCCAGCGAGATGCTACGCGTCAAAGTCCAGCAGTGACAACAAGATCAACCTGAAGGGATTCATTACCGTGGGCATCTTTGCATCGATCATCCTCACACAGGTTGTGGATGCGGTGTTGAAGGAGAAGCCAAGACCACGCTCGATGTCGGAGGCTGAGTACTACAGACAGCAGCAGAGACTGAAGCGTAAAGTTGCCCGTTTCACGGATGCGCATAAACAAGTGTATCTGTTGAAGAGCGATAAGCCATTGAGCGCTGACGACGTGAAACTGGACAACGTGACTGTGATAGACCCAAAGGAGCTGGTACAGGCCGAGAAGGACGATGAGTCGTCCAAATTCTATGCGCTGTTGAACGACCCTGAGCTCAGGGACATACCAAGAGGTGTTGTGATCGATCTCATCCTGAAGTACTTGGAGAGCCATCCCGATGGTAAGTACCTGGTGCTGAACTTCCCAACTGACATCAAGGAATCCACACAGTTTGAAGATAAAGTGGTTACTGTGAAGAAGCTCATATCTTTAAATGCGCAGGGAATTGACGATTTGGTCAAGTATTACAAGACGGTTGATAAAGTTAAAGATATCTCTTCGATCTCTGAATTAAAGACTGTGTTTGAATGAGCATGTTGGCTCCTGTTATATATAGCGCATCTTCTTTTATATACATAAACCTTGTAAATAATACATCCTGTTTGATTCACCTTTTCGTACTTCCAAATGTATTGAAACCCAAGGCCTTGGACATGTCATCGTCCTTTGCAATTGGGTGATTCTGCGCTCTCTTTGTCCTAAGGGCATCTTCATCGTGGGAGTCATTTGTGTCAGTGACGCCTGGTTTATCCTGAGTGTCGTCATTGGAAGTCTTCCTCCTTACAAGCTCTTCATAGACAGCCTTAACTTGTTCCAGCGTTGCAGGCTCAACCATCTTCTCACCACTGTTCATCATATGTTGAGGACTGTTCAAATGATCGGCGAACTTCAGGTTGTCCTTGAACCTTAGATCGCATAGTTCACATCTGAAACCAACACCTTCACCTCTCATACCACCAACCTGGCCCGTGATGACTTGTCTCTTGTTTAGATTAGATTCAAAGTTCAACTTGGCTCTATCAATGATCTTAGCCCTGGACTTTCCAGTTTGCCGTTGATGGCTTTGATGTTCCTGTTTGTGCCTTTCATGAGCCATACGCTCATACTCATTTCTGTCCCATGTTCTTCTGCCAAAGGATCCCTGCTGTGACATCTCGTTGTTGGTAATTTGCTATTAGTCTGTGTCTCTTTCGGAGATGATGTAAACATCAAGCAATTTTTAGTGGATGAGATTTTTTGCTTACCTCGAAGCCTTTCTCATCATCATCAACAACAACAATTATAATACAGTGACTCAGAGCTATGAAACAGGATGTACTCTCTATGATTACGAAGTCAAAGTCTGTGGCTCCCTTGAAGGTTAATAGTAAAGTTGTGCCTCAATTGAGCAAGGATCTAACAACTTCACTATCACAGACCCATAGAATAACATTGGTGGATGAATACCTCATAAAAATACATCCTTCAAAGAAACCGGCTGTGGATAAAGCAGCTCAAATCACTGCATTTGACTTGGATGGAACCCTTATAGATACCAAATCTGGCTCAAAGTTCTCGAGAGGTCCAACGGATTGGAAATGGTTTAACGATAAAGTCGTACCAAAGTTGTTGGAGTTGCAAACACCAATTGTGATATTCACCAATCAAGGAGCAGTTGTTGGGCAGAAAACAGCAAAGTCTTATGTCAATTTCACTTCGAAGATCAAGCTGATATTACAAGAACTGGAGAAGAAAGGTTTGGATATGGGTAACTTGTGGATATTTGCAAGCCCAAAGAAGAGTGCCAAATATCAAGGTCCAAATGCACACATGTTTGAAGAGATGAGGAAACCACGCACAGGAATGTTCAATCAACTCTTAAAAGAGCTGGATTCGGTCGATAGAAGTGTTAGTGTCTTTGTAGGTGATGCTGCAGGGAGAAAAGGGGACTTTAGCGATAGTGATAAGCAATTTGCTGAAAACTGTGGTTTACAATTCCAAACTCCAGAGGAGTTCTTTACATAATAGCTAGATTTAATGGATCGCAATTAATCCATGAACTACGGGTGCCGTTTTTCAGGTTCCTGTATCATTATACATTATTTTGTTTTTAAAGTGATCATGCTTCAAGAAAACAACGTTTAGTCATCTTCAACAATGGTACCCTTCTCAGAAACGTAGATACCATCCAAGAACTTTCTGATATCTTTGTTTCTAACACGACAGATTTGTTGAACATCAGCACAGGTTTGGGAAACATCCTCGACAGAGTTACCGGAAAGAACAATCTCATCCTTTTGGTTGGTGGAGAACTCAACATCGACACCTTCTCTGACCTTGACCAATCTAACTTGCTTGTCACCCAAGAAGTTTCTGATCTCAATGTACTTGTCACCATCCTTCTCAATAGTGTTGACGTTGATTGGGAAATGCGCATAGACGTATCTCATCTTGTACTTGTAACCCTTGGTAACACCGGTGATCAAGTTGGCGATCAAAGACTTGACGGTTCTCAAGGCAGCAACGTGCTTTCTGTCACCGTTGTGGACAGTGATCTTGATCTCCTTGTTAGAGACCTTGGTGAAAGTAACATCAATGTGTCTCAAGTTCTTAGAGAGGGTACCTCTTGGACCAGTAACGGTGACGAGTCTGGACTTGATTTGGACTTTAACACCCTCTGGGATAGCCAAAGATTGGTCGGTTCTGATGTACTTCATTGTGTGTCTGGAGTTCCTCTTCTATTAGCACTTCAAAGAAAAATGGGCTCCCGTTGGTGATGCTTGGTTGAATTTTTCACCTCCCACACCGAGCAGAGGAGATGGTGATAATTTTCATACATCCGAACATCAACTAAAAAAAAACTCCGGGCGCCGGAGCCCTATTCTACAATCACGTGATATATATGTGTGTAGCCCTGAGACAAATGTAAGATCGATCAAGATCTTAGTTGTGTTCATTAATCATTTTTTGCAGTTTACCAAAGATCTTATCTCTGTGCTTTGCCAACTCATCATCCTCTTCGTCTGGGAAGAAGTTTTGACGTTTATATTGTTCACTTTCGTCCGATTCGTAGTCCATGGCATCATCTTCTTCTCCTTCATCATCCTGGTTCAAAGATGCGAGGAAGTCAGCGTTGGAGTCTCCGTTGATATCGTCATAAAATTCATCGTAGAGTTCATCAAACCCCTCTTGTAACTTTGGCGATTTTACAGAGGCCTCTTTATGTAAAGACTCTGTCAATTGTTCAAGTTCAGCATCGGAACTATCGATATCAGTGGTATGGTCGTCTTCATCCTCTGGATAGTCATTTTTGTAAAAGTCTTCGGCATTTGAATCTTCGTCATCAGATACATGCTTCTCGGAATCGTCATCGTTGATGATATCTTCATAATCTTCTTCAAATTTGCTATCAAAAGTAATAACCGTTAGTGATGATGTCCCAGATTTGCTTTACAAGAAAAACTTACATATATCCCACTTTATCCGTTTCCCAAGACTCTGCAACGGCCTTATCCCTGTAATAAACATCATAGACGTACTCCAAATCAACGGTCTCTTTAGATAAGAAGGACCCCGCTGTATTTCTCTGTTTTCTCTTCTTCAATGGTTTCGTTTCCGCCTCTGCTGGGTCTGATACCAAGATTGAACTGAGCATTTCATTCAACTCCTCGGGAAGCTCCTCAGTATGCTGTTCTTTGGGAATCACGTAAGTATTATTCTTATCCTGTATCAATTGAGAGTTAGTATTAGCTCTTCCAAGACATAAAGCGTGAAAGAAACATACATCCTTGTGACTTGACTGTTGAAGTAGGGGCAATGCCTCCGTACCATCTGTTGAAAGTGATCCTATCTCTTTTTCTGTTCTTTGCAGTTTGAAGACTTTCCAACGTTAGCATCTTGAGATCAAATATCAAACAACGATCTGCTTACCATATGCCTCATCTTTGATCCTCTTGTTCCTCGGAGCTTCCAAAACTATTGATGGTTGTTAGTTAAGAGACATGAGAACAGTTAGCGGCCCACTTACTCAGTGCTTGGAGAGAATCCTGATGTCTTTTTCTCTTTATCCTCACAATATCTGGTAAATCTCTAGTCATCTTTCCGTTGTTGTACTCTCCCTCCGCTGCCTATACCGTTGTCATTCAGTAGGAAACCCCCCTCATCGTAGAAGGACCCCCTCTCAATTGCAGTTTTGTTTTGTTTTTCTTTGCTTAGTTTTGATTTTGGTGATGCAGATCGGTAACCACAGGAACAGAGTTGAAAACAACAACACAAACGTACGCATCAACCTTAATCAACAAACGCTACAAGCTGATAGATCTTGCAAATCCAAAAACAATTGCTACACAAAGTGGAAGACACCAACTCCTCCCACAGTTCATTCACGCCGTCAGCCATCATGTACTTCAAGAGATATCTACAAATCCAAATCAGAAACGCCATCGTCAGGACAAACTGGGCTATAAACTTTATGGCTGATTCGGTCATCGGCACCGTCTTGGAAAGGCACAGTGATGTTGTACTAGTCACTGGCGGCTGTTCTGGACTTGGACGTGAGATCGTGAGAGACCTCAAGAGGTGTAAGCACCCAAAAGTTGTCGTATTTGACCTTCACATACCGCCAGATGAGGAGAGGTTTCCAGAGGTCCACTATTACTCGTGCGACGTTAGCGATGTCAACAGCATCCAAGCGTTGGCCGCCATTGTTAAGAGAGAAGTTGGCATTGTAACGGTTGTGATAAACAATGCTGGCATTACATCTGGTAAGACGCTCTTGGAGTTATCCTTTGGAGAAATTGAAAAGATCATTGCCGTCAATTTGACATCCAACTTCTATATCAACAAAACATTCCTCCCTGATATGGTGCTGTTGCAAAGAGGGTACATCGTTACCGTGTCTTCGGTATTGGGGTACATGACACCAGCAAGGCTCAGTGAGTAAACCACCTTTTTCTTTGTCTCTTCGTTCCCGAGAGCGCTCCTGAGTTACTAATAAATACTCGTCATTCAGGTGCATATGGAGCAGCCAAATCAGGAGTAATTGCGCTCCACGAGTCCTTGACATATGAGCTATCCCGGACTATGGGTTCCTCTACTGGGATAAAGACGTTGCTAGTCGCCCCAGGTCAGATGAGAACTACTTTGTTCAACGGTGTAAATACACCATCATCGATCTTTGCGCCAGAGCTTGAGCCTTCATACGTGGCACAAAAGATTGTGAGAGCTTTGAAATGTGGTCGACGTGGTGAGCTTCAGCTTCCCTTATACGGGCACTTTCTCCCGTTGTTCAGAGCTACTCCTTGGCCAATTACGCTGTTCGTCAGACGCATGAGTGGTATGGACGAAGCAATGGACTCGCACAGCACTGTGGGTCCATCTTCAAGGGCTTGATGTTTGATATTCAATCCTCATCCACATAGTTGTTTTCGATGAATCTGAACCCCCAAAAGTTACCCTTGGAACCGCCCCAAAATGGTTCATTGAAGTCATTAGCTGCAACAATTTTACCCTTTATCAATGCCAATGGTAAGGAGTTGTATGTTCTAGAGTCTAGTGAATGTGCTAAGTTATCACCGGTAACCCATACGTGTCCCTTAGGTACCTTGATGTACTTGTTGAAGCTTGCAGAAGGATCATGTTTATCATCCATGCTTGGATCAATAAGAATTACATCGCCTGGCATCCCAGTTATTCTCTTACAAACCCTTTGGTCAGGATCTGTAGGTTTCAACGCAACAATACAGTCACCATTCTGGATGCCTCTTCCCAATCTGTACTTCTTTAAAGAGTGAACAAAGTCACCGTTTGCAGCGAGCGTGGGGAGCATTGACTCACCTCTGGTCTCTGTGAATTCGTAGAAGTGTGACTGAACAACATGGAGAGCACAACCTCCACGTAAGGCATAGCTGAATACTTTCCAGACAAACTTCAGGTTCTCACTCATGGTTCCTAATTCCTCAATTGAGTATCTATTCCTGTTTCCTGTTCCTCTTTTCTGTTCTTGAAGGTGTGGAAAATGGGCGAAATTGTCCATCGCAGAGAAAATTCATAGAAATCGGAATTTTTGGAATTTTTCGATCGGAATTTTTTTACTTCATTCTATACTCCTGTTTAGATAAGTTAAAGAATAACCAATGGCCAGATACGAACAGAGACAACTATTGGAACAGCTTATTGGACGTGATGCTCTCATTCGTCCATCTCGTCAACAGCGTGACTATGGTATCCATGATCCTAAGGTGTGCAAACTGTTCCTGATGAATGTATGTCCATACGACCTTTTCAATGGAACCAAACAAGAAATGGGGCGTTGTAATAAGATACATCTGGAAAAACATAAGATCGAGTATAAGAAACAACTTGCTGAGGGCAAGGAATTCCCTGAGTTCCAATCGGAAGCAATTGGTGTTCTTAATAGGTTCATTGTTGATTGCAATCGGAAAATTGACATTGCGCTTAAAAGATTGGAACCAGCACCTGAAGAGCGGGCAAAAATAAGTGAAGCTGCTAGAGAATTGGAAGAGATTGATTCAAGAATAAACATCATGGAACGTGAGTTCAGTAAACTTGTTGACCTTGGTGAGGTCACGAAATCTATAGAACAAGGTATCAAACTACAAGAAATGAATGTCAAGAGAGAATTTTATATAAGAAGGCTGAGAGATGTTACTGAGAACGCTGGACAAAGTCAACAACAGAAACTACAGGTTTGTGAGGTATGTGGTGCTTATCTGTCCAGATTGGATAGTGATAAACGATTAAGTGACCATTATTTGGGAAAGCTTCATCTCGCATATGTGACTATGAGAACTGTTCTATCCAACCTTAAGAGAAATCAAAGGTGATTGGTCAGTTTGGTATTGTTTGGTGATTAATGAAGTCTTAATATGAACCTGAAAGTTGACGTACTACGGTACGTATCTGATGATATTGATTTTGACGGATGTCAATCTCTGTTCACATGTCCAAAAGGTACAAGATAAAGCAGTGTACGAGCTGCTTGATCTCAGAGAGTCAGTACTGGCAAAGTGGTCCTATAACTCTCTCTATCAAGCTATCAAATGCATGTATGAAACCTCCTGTGTGCAGTGCAAATGCTCAAGCTTTGATTTATTCCCCGATGTTGGACTAAACCTCATGATTGATGTTGACGTTAATAAATGCCAGCTATTCGAATTCCAGTTTTACACCATTAAGGTCACTTGTAGTTACAATTTGTGCATTATTGCTACTATGTGAGATAAACATGTGTAGTGTTAGAATCTGTTCATACTTTATAAGAATTTGAATGGGTAAGCGTTGACGCATATTGAACTGTTTGCAATGTTGGAAAGGGGATGCTTAACTCTAATACCAACCCTCGTCATTAGAATTGATTTTTCAGAAATACTGAAAACATCACAGCTGTACAATTGAACAATATTTATGAATTGAATATTATAGTAATAAATGGTTAGAATGATTACGTCTTATTTACATTTCAAAAATATTAAGCATCAAAATATTCCTAAAGTGATTTTTCTTAAGTAAGATCTCAAGGTAATATTATCCAAAAATTTTGCAAGTACATTTCTTAAGATGAGAATAATGGCGTTAAGAGATATGATCTTTGGTGCAAAATTCACATTGAATTGATTGTAAGTGGTTCATTTCTCTCTCTTTAACAGAGATCACTTCAATATACAATCATACAACATAATCAATTGAAGCTACACGCTACACAGGTACATTAATAGTATCACACTTATAATTTTCGATTCGCGGCAGCAGCGTAAATGCATGTGGTTGACAGGGCGACGCGATGTTAATGTTCATGTTGATGACGCGTATAACGTACTGTAAACAGATTGCTTGGGCATCAGGCTATTGTGATTCCCAAATAGTAAAGCGTATCGATACTATGAATTGAAATGCTACAGTGATACGCTGTTTTAGGTGATCACTATTCAAATAAACGGTTGTATACTCTATGGCTCTTGTAAAAATACAGATGGATCTTGTATACCACGGATTGTATAATTCTAACTACCTTCCATGGTTCATTGGGGCTTAGAACCACAGGAAGACGTTGTCACGGAGGTGCAAATCACCTAGCTTACTACTTCAACTATGACACAATGGCTATAGGGCAAGTACACTTTTGAAATGTCCATGATACCGATAGAGCGAACCAGGACACTGGGATAGTTCCCGGCTAACAAACGGGCGTTCCCTCTCTGATAGTCCCACCACAATAAAACCCATATCACAAGAATTGAAGAGTTTTAACACAGATACATTGAATTGTGTCATTATCGCAGTTTGGTTACGCTCTACAGCAGGCCACGATGCGAGAGAGTCGAGACAAGAGCCCAACTCGCGGTGTACTTAAAGCTTTATCCAAACAGAATAGGCTGATTTCATGCGAAACAAGTGAGATAGAAACCCAATTACACGTTCACGCTCCATATCCATTTCCAGCAACTAGGACACGTTCATCTCTGCATATTTGTTCATCTTGGACCTTAATTCAAATCTATGTTAATAACATGTAAGCAGGCTAAACAACGATGGTACCTTGATTTGGGTTTTAGCGCGCGCCTACCAACTTCGCCAACGCAGAACAGCTCCGGACACAACATCTTGGGGCTGGCATCATCATCGCCTCATGGGCCTGGATCGGGATTTGGCTCCCATAACACAGCACACGCGAAGTGAACGTCTTGGCCTGTTATCAACGTTATGTGAACGTCTTAGCCTGCTATCAACGCTACGTGGATAGTGAACATTCGCACCAGGTGTACACTACGTTGGTATGTATTGTTGAACTTTAGGCTGCCAGCCTCACGCGGTCTCTCGACATATGACGCACTGCGCAACGAAGTTTCACCAACGTCTCAAAATGGACAAGAGCGGCTATCAGTCTAGCAAAAACAGAGAGAATCTAGACAAATTGGACACAACACCACTCGAACGCCAAACAGTGTTCCCGGTGGACTTCATTGGTGAGTCGATCTGCAGTGTTGTCTGTTATCTTTGGCTATGGTTGACTGATGACCAATTGGATTATAGTACCACTCTCTCTACGCACCTCAACAGGCCCATAGATCGAGCTGTAAATTGCCAGATCAAATGCGAACGGTCCATGGAGTTCTCACCGCCCGAAGCTTCGACGGCTTACCAAAGCGTATGCCCAGACATAGTGTAGCAGCACCCACCAACTGCCACAAATGTACGTGGCTACCATTTACGACACACCACACGTAGTTGTAGAATTGGCCATCGCAAGCCATCCCAGTGCAAGCCATGCCAGCGCGATCCAAACGCTTGAGATGAAAAAGGCCACCGTGGTTGTTCATGTGGGAGGAAGCGCTGCAGGTCGTGGGTTGAACAGTTACAGACAAGACATTTACACGATACTCAATAATTTATCAGACCTTCGTGAACATCACTACAGAGACCGCCTCAGTGCTGGATAATAACGGGGTCACTTTATACAGCATTTGGGCCACAGGGTGGACCGTGTATTCCCACACCTCCAGGGCCCAGAACGCCAAAAGAGTGGAAGCAAGAGAGGGTGGGAGGATGTGAGAATTTCACCGGTGAAGCTACGACTCTCCAAGCCCAACTGCCTTGTCTCGGACAAAAAAAGAAAGGACAACCAAAACACACGGACATTTCCCTCTGGGACATTTTCGATGTGATGCGTCGCGACGAAAAATTGTGCGAAAGCAGGACGAACAAAAAAAAAACACGTCGAACGTGGATGCTCGAGAGTATAAAAATCATAACAAATCCTCGATTTTTGCTCCTTAATTTGAGAGTTCTTGACACGTTCTTTGAGGTTGAAGCCATTTAATTGCATTTAGGTATCACACCTTAGCACAGCACACATTCACATACATACATAATGAAAGGTTTGATTCTTGTCGGTGGTTACGGTACTCGTTTGAGACCATTGACCCTCACTGTTCCAAAGCCATTGGTTGAGTTTGCCAACAAGCCAATGATCCTCCATCAAATTGAGGCTCTTGCTAAGGCTGGTGTTACCGACATCGTCCTTGCCGTCAACTACAGACCAGAGGTTATGGTCAACACCTTGAAGAAGTACGAAAAGGAGTACGGTGTGAACATCACGTTCTCTGTCGAGACCGAGCCATTGGGTACTGCTGGTCCATTGAAATTGGCTGAAGAAGTTTTGAAGAAGGACGACTCGCCATTCTTCGTTTTGAACTCTGATGTCATCTGCGAATACCCATTCGAGGAGCTCGTTAAGTTCCACAAGGCTCACGGTGGTAAGGGTACCATTGTCGCCACAAAGGTTGATGAGCCATCCAAGTACGGTGTCATCGTCCACGACATTGCCACCCCAAACTTGATTGACAGATTCGTCGAGAAGCCAGTCGAGTTTGTTGGTAACAGAATTAACGCTGGTTTGTACATCTTGAACCCAGAGGTTATTGACTTGATTGAGATGAAGCCAACTTCCATTGAGAAGGAAACCTTCCCAATCCTCGTTGAGCAGAGATCCCTTTATTCCTTTGATTTGGAAGGATTCTGGATGGATGTTGGTCAGCCAAAGGACTTCCTCGCTGGTACTGCCTTGTACTTGAACTCCTTGAAGAAGAAGGGCGACAAGTCTCTTGCCGAGGAGGGCGAACAAATCAAGGGCAACGTTCTCATCGACCCAACTGCCAAGATTGGTGAAGGTGCTCTTGTTGGTCCAAACGTCACCCTTGGTCCAAACGTTGTCATTGGTAACGGTGTCAGAATCCAAGACTCTGTTGTCCTCGCCAACTCCACAATCAAGGACCACGCTTGGGTTAAGAAGACAATTGTTGGCTGGAACTCTACAGTTGGTAAGTGGGCTAGATTGGAAGGTGTCACCGTCTTGGGTGATGACGTTGAGATCAAGGATGAGATTTACGTGAATGGTGCCAAGGTCTTGCCTCACAAGAGCGTCTCCAGCAATGTCGAGAAGGAGTCCATTATCATGTAAAGTGGACCAGTTTTACAAAATATACCTACACTTGGGAGTGTTTCTCTCAAGTCTAATATGACGTACACGACCTTTTCCAAATTCATTTCGCCAACCACTTTTTCTTTCTCAACACTATCATAAGAAGAATAGACAGTAATCCTTATGGACGCAACGTACTCCTCCGTTTAGTGCTCGAAGTTCTCTTAACTTGTATTTCGTATCAGTCGCTAATCTCTGCAGCATTGCCTAAGCTCTGTCGCGTTGCTTCGGCGACACGCCCATTCTCCGTTGCTGCAGTGACGACGACTCGGTGTTCATATCTCCGCCAATGTGTGGCCAGCTGATCAGACCGGCATTTGGGAGATGGAGCTCAACAAATCTGTGCTGACATTAGAGACGTCTTCCGTTATTGGCGAGGACTCTCGTAGATTCTGTTACAGCACTTTGGCTGCAACGTTCTTATCAAGAAAGGTATTGAGTCACCATTGGCACGAATGACCATCCGTCAAGCTGTTGTAGAGTGCCTTTGGCCAGTACTGAAGCCGATGGTGATCGATTCAGCTTGTTCGTGCATTGTGGTAGATGGTGTTTATGGTACTCCTTGTTTCGACCTTGATGATACTTCAGTTCGATTGATCTTCGCCAAATGGCATGTACAATAGTGTTGTTATGAGACCTTCAAAACCGAGTTTAGTCTCTGCTGCCATGGTGTGCACCACCAGGTTTTTGCTATGATGTTCAGACCAAAGCTGGAGAAGAGGAGGTCATCTTTACATCTGGTATTGAACATAGTGCTGTGAACCCATCACGATTCTCTGATATTCGAAGACCAATCCCACTGGATTGGCACTTCTTGTAAGAATGATTCTGGTATTCCTTGGATACCGTTACAATTTCGTTCAATGAAGTCGTTCATGACCCATATAACTGAGTGATGATACTTATGTGTCGTTTCATCTATATATGTTTGAATGTCCTTCATTCCTCTTTAAAACCACCATCGTAGCAGGCGTATCAGTGTTATGAAGAGAGTACACCCTTTAATATAACAATCACAAACGGTGGAATTGACCAGCCCTTAGCGTGGTTCTTGACCACAGCAATAGTTCCTTAACTTGAGGACTGTGACATTTTACTGTTAAGGCTTTGATATTGCACCGCACCAGATTTCGAGGACTTGATCATCCTTGGCTTTGGACTGCTATCACAGTCAATAGCACCTTTATGCAATCCATTATTCACGAATGGAGGCTTCTCGAATCTCGTATACTCTGACGGTATACGATCTTTCATAGCCTCAACGCCAGAGCTGCCCCAGCTTTGGGTTGAAGATGGCTCTGTTGTTTTGCGATATAAAGGGAGCAGTCTGTGTGTAGTATTTAGAGTACCAGTGCTCTTCTGTGATGTCGGTTGTTCAGGATCACGTACATTAGAGAGAACAAGGCTCATGTTGGCATCATGTATGTGAGTACGAATCGACAGTGGGTTGATGACAGCACGAGTACTTTTATGGGGTGTTTCATACACCGGAGATGAAGAATTGGTTCCAGGGTATTCTGACTCACGATGTTGCCATGAATGATTGTACGTATTATATGTTTGACCAGGTCTTGGTTGGTTTCCTTGTGATATCATTCTTTGTTGGATATGATGGTGACGTTCTGGTGCTTTTGTTGCATTAGATCCACATGATTCGGATCTATTCGTCGATGGATTTGTTCCAAGTGACAGAGGTGCGACCTTATATTGATCAAGAGGTAGCAGTGTTCTTGGCTCCTTATCTGACCGTGTAATCGAAGCAGGCGACTGAGCAGATTCATAGCGCCAACGTGTTTCAAGATCTTGGAGTTCCTTCAAGCTCACACTAAGAGCACGAAGATTATGAAATGTGTTGTTCAGCTTCGATTTGATCTTCATTTGTTCATTTACCGCATTGAAGTACCTCAGCTTCTTCAAATTGTTGTTGATTACAACCTGAACTTTCTTGGAGTAGACTTCATGCGGTTTACTGATCGCTTGGTCAATGTCAATGCATATGAATTTCAAACGAGCAATGATCTCTTCACTGTGAAGCTGTAAAACATCATTAATAGGGGTTCCACTAGCAGCTGTGATTTTATTATGACCATCAGCGTCAAGGTCAATGAGTACTGGATTTTGTTGACCAGATAGTTTGTTGTACTCCGGGTTCTTACCATCATCATGATCGGAGTGCTCGTCTTCATCAAGCACTATGACCTCGTACTTTCTTTTTTTGGAAGGTAAGACTCCAGAAGTATTAGTTAGAGGTAAAACATTAAGGGCATCATCATCTTGGTGAGAGCCAGACGCAGCATGCACTCGACAGTCAGGGAGACCAAGGTTTACATTTGACAGTGTATTTCCAAAAACGATATCATCCTCTTCAGAGGATTCTTCACCCGAGATACCATGGATCTCAACGTCCTCTTCAGAAGAGGACTCACCCTCATTATCAAAAAATTTAGGATCACGGTAAACATCCTTCGTCTTGATGACGCTTGTCATTTCGAGGAAGTCGTCTTCGTCAAGAACTTCCAAGGAGTCGTTGTCATCATCACCATCACCCTGCTCCACATCGTCTTGAGCGTTGTTCATGGGCTGTTTAAATCGAGTTGAACGTAAAAGGTCCAAAATGCTCTTTCCTTGTGAAGTCTGAGAGATATGAAACATGTTAAAAATGTGCAAAGAATCTTCACATGAGCACCATTTACCATTCAACGTAGGTGCTTTCTGACACTGAACCATTTGATAGTGATATTTCTCCAGAACATCTCGGATGTGTAATTCATTCTCAACTTTCATATCAGGATCGTCTTCCCCCAAATCCAACTGCAAAAGGCGAATGAGAACACAAGCATGAATGAGTCTAGTACAGTTGACCCATCCATCGGATAACCTTCTGAGGACTGTGACACGGTTTATTTCACCTCGACCTTTCTTGGTTAGTTGAATGGTGATCGGTGTTTTTATTGTGAAATCATCATAGGATAAGCGATTGTTAGGTTTACCGTAGATACGGGGAGCCGGTCCTCTAGGTATCGAACCTTCTCTAAATGATGAGGGAAAACCAAAGAAGCTGCGATCATCTTTCGTTGCTCTCCAGTGTAAGCGTAAAGTTCTTTCATAGAGATCCATGGGGATAGCCTTCAACTGATCTGGCGAGGAGTCGAATTCGAGAATGGGACAGATATGTTTAAAGAGACCGTGCTTCCTTGAGAATCTGATTACACATGCAACTTCCATCCAGTGCCCTCCACATATAGTTGAGTCTCCCTTTATCCTCATAGTTTTATGATAGAAGTACAGTGATCTTCGAAGAGCCGTTACCGCCTTGTTACCTTTGAGTCTGTAATACACAGAGAACACCTGATCCATATTGACTCTATTTGTTGATACTTCTCGTAGAATTCTTATACTCACATCCACGCTCATGTGCACAAAGTATTCGTAGTAGTGCATGCCTGAATATGACACTATAGCCACCCTTTCGAAGGCCAGGAGAGGCCCCACTTTCGACCATAACCCATGTGTAATTGCAAACCGTCTCGCAATGTTTAACGGAACCCATAGGCCGTTGAAACGTTTCCCTTGTGTTGAATTTGAGTAGAGAAATCGAGAGTGCTTGAAGCGTCGAAGTTCAGCGTTCAAGGCTGGGGAATCGTCTATGAGTGGCAAGAACTTGGTGATATTGACCCATGAACCAAGTTTCCTTCTCATGAATTCTAACCGGCCATGGCGATAGATATAATACTCATCATCATCCAGTATTGCTGTCGATAGAGGACAGCACTGCTCCTTAGGTGGCTCCTTCGTGGCCTTTATAGCCCTGGAGCTTCCCTGCTCTTGAGTCCTGAGGACAACCATACCACCGAGCCCTTTCTCCCTCGCAAGAAGGTCAAAGTGTCACCTCTCATGTGTTTACCAGCTTGTAATGTAAGCGTTGTGTCTGGCTTTGGCTGTTCGGTATGGTGAGTGTTGCACCAACAGATTTTTGGCCATCACCGTGGAAACAACCGTTCAAAAATTTCTTAGCGGCAAAATCATACAACAACAACAACAACAACAACAACAGCGCTGGCATCGAAGGGACAGTGAAACAGGTCGGTGTGCACGATCTATCAGGCGGAGTAAGCGAACAATCCACACAACCAAAGCTGATCTAAGGCGGTAGTATCCAGAGGAGGGTTTAATTGCTGAGAGTCTCAACCAAGAGGAAGCCATACAGTGTGTCTATCAGGGCAATATTTGCTTGAGATTTCACACAATCTTGCATAGACGAGAGAATCAACACAGAATATTGGGTGTGTGGCACTGAGGGTTGTGTATACTTGATTAGAGAGTCTTTCGAGTCTACTGGTGTCTGACTGAAACACTGTGCGGTCCCATTTCAGCTTATTCAGACTGAGGCCTTTTTCTTCTTGAGGTTACTGGTGTTGTTTATCCCTTACAAGTGTGCTCATCGAGTGTCTGAAGTCAACAATGGATAAGATATTCTCAGCCACCTATTCAGGTGTGCCCGTTTATGAGTATTTGATACCCACAGGGTCAGTCATGAGACGGAAATCTGACAGCTGGGTGAATGCTACACACATTTTGAAAACTGCAAACTTCCCCAAGGCCAAGCGTACGAGGATACTGGAAAGGGATGTCCAAGTAGGCGAGCATGAGAAAGTACAAGGTGGATATGGTAAATACCAAGGTACGTGGGTCCCATTGCAGAGAGCCAAGGAAATCGCCAAACAGTTTGAAGTGTATGAAATACTAGAGCCATTATTTGAGGTTACAACGTTATTTCCTGGAATGTCTCCACCGCCTGCTCCAAAGCATCGTCATGAGAAGAGCGCATCAGTCATCGAGAAGGCCCCTCCGCCAAAGAGAAAAGCCGTACTTGCTAGAAAGACTGCAAGTACTCCGGTAATGAAAACATCTAATAAGATTACAACAACGTCAAGGACATCGAAAGCCAAAGAGAGAGCGAAGAAAGCGGTGGCTCCAGTTTCAAATCCGAACGAGGGGGTGTTTGTTGGTAAACGGCATGTCCAGAGTGCTTCAAATCTTGCTACAAATGATCTGCAACCGGCCGACAGAGAGGGTTCACCAGAGATGGACATTAATGATGGTATTGACAGTGATATCGAAGATCCCTCCAGTTTAAGCATTGTTTCCCCTTCATCCCCAAGTGAGTTCATGTCAGAGGTAGACTTAGCAAACGCATTAAAGTCTCCAAACGAAGCTTTGAACCAAACGGCAAGGGAAAGTTTGGAACGTGTTATGAACCATGGTGATGAACACCGTGATACCAAATGGATAGACTCAAATTCGGACTTTACATCTCGACTTTTGGAGTATTTTCTACAACCAGATGAGATGGTTGATGATTCTATACTGCCGGACTTCTTAGCTCACCCTCCAAATGGCTTGAAAGTTGATGAGGTGATTGATGACGATGGGAACACCATGTTCCACTGGGCATGTGCCATGGGAAGTCCCCAGGTTGCAGAGGTGTTAATCACGCTCGGAGCAAACTACAGAGCTGTTAACAATGCTGGGGAGACCCCACTAATGAAAGCAGTGCAGTTCACGAACTCATATGTTAAAAAGACATTTCCAAGGATAGTTGCACTTGTGAGCGAAACTTGTTTTGAGTTTGACGCTAATCACAGAACTGTCCTTCATCACATTGCAGCAGCAGCTACATCGAAGAGTCGAGTACCCTCTGCATTATATTACATGGATATCGTTATTGCAAAAGTATCTGAAGGGCAGTCATCAGAAAGGGTAGAGTCGTTTCTCAATTGCCAGGACAATACAGGTGATACCGTCTTACACATATGTGCAAAGAATGCGAATAGGAAGTGCATCAAATTGCTACTAAATTTCAAGGCAAAGACGAATATTCGCAATAACAGTGGTCAAATTGCATCTGACATCCTTTTGGAGAATGAGAACTTGAACCCGAAAGTCCAGGAGAGATACGAAATGCACATGATGAGAGGACGCAAACGGAGCAGGTCAGTTGAATCTGTCGCGGAGCCTCACGTTTCAGAAGCTGCTATTGAGGCCACCCACAAGGTATCGCAATTCATCGTGGACTCACTCAACGAACTATCAAACATATATGATGATGAATTGGGAAGGAAAGAATCTGATGTTCAAGAGGTTAAACAGCTGTTGACGAATATGCACGACGAGACGGTGATGATTGAGGACAAGACCAAGGAGTTCCTCGGTGAGGCACTCAACAACGAAAAGCTCACGAAGCACATCTCCTTTGTCCAGGATCAAGTGAAGCGTCATGAACTTCTTGTCAAGAGCAAAGAGGTCAAACTACGCAGAATGCTAGAGAGATCGCAGAAACGCTTCTTGGAAAATGCCATGAAGGACGAAACCAAGCGGGACTACCCTGTGGGATCTGAAGATTCACTAAGCGTCTCCATTGAGTTGACAAGGCTGCAGATATCGAGAGGACATCTATTGGATGAGATCTTACGACTGTACAGTGGGGTCCATGCTCAGGATGATAAAATGAACAAATACAAACGGCTAATTAGCGAATCAGCCGACATACCTCTGGATGAGGTGTCGAGTAAACTGGAGGATCTATTGGAGGAGATTGAGAGCGCCTCGAACTAGCTTCACTTCCATATTTAAAAGCAATTAGCTCATGAGTGACGACAACCAACTTCCGATTACTTCGTGTAAAAGCGCTTTAATTCCGTAGATTCAAAAGCCGGCCGAGGATGAGAGCCTACACGGACCCCCGGCGGAAGCAGGGCGGGCGGACTACAAACGAAAAACTCGGGAATTGTCAGCTTTTCGGACCAGGCGAGCAAGAAAGTAGCGAGATTTCTGTTAATTGCAAGTCCAATTTGGTTTAAAAGGGTCTCCTGAGGTTGTCTTTTGCTCTTATTTTCATTTGCCTGTTCCTCTTTCTCACGTGAACAGACGCTGTGCTCATAGATCAAGTGTGAATTAGCGTGGTTTTCATTGTTGAGAGGTAGATTTGACTCCTTTTGTTACTCACTCTACCCTGATTAATACAGTTGTGTGACGCTAAATTTTTTCACCATCTTCTCGCCATCCCCGGTTTAAATAGTCGTGGTCATCATCATCAATAGACGGATTAGAGAGTAATCCACAGAAGCAGTTCTCAATCATGGTTCTCTGGTTCAAGACAGTACACGATTACGACTTCAACTTTGAAACAGCAACGCTTGCGTTCTTCAACAAGTATCCGAATCCATATGCCTCGCATGTTGAGTCAGTAGACACAGTGGACCGTCAGGTCATCGATGGGAAGCTTCATACCACGAGACTTATCCGCAAGAGAGGGAAACTACCAAGATGGGTGAAACCGTTCCTGGGCAAGATATCCCACTCCTGGATTGTCGAGAAGACTGTGCTGGATCCACAGACCAAAGAGATGACGGCATATCAGAGAAACCTTGACCACACCAGAATCATTCGTGTGGAGGAATACACCACTTTCCGTTACGAGGAGCCTGAGAACATGACAAGGGTATCTTACAGGGTGAAGTTCAGCTCTGGATTCAAGGGGTTTGGAGTGAAGAACAGAATAGAGGCATGGTCACACAGTAGATTCCAGGAGAATATCAAGAACACAAGATTAGGAATGGCCTATGTCATGCAACAGTGCAAAGAGGGACAACGGAAGAAGGCTGAACAAATAACAGGTCAACTCTGATCAGCTTGTAATGCACCTCACCTCACTTATTTATTAACAAAAGGAGAGACACTTGTGTATATATCATAGTTAAAAGTCTATCCTCATCATGTACAGTATTTTGAAAAAAGTGTCTATTGTAGTGGTAATTATATCTTCTTAGGCATATACACCAATTCACTAGTTAGGCAAAGCTCAAGTCCCAGCCTAGTCTCTTGACAATTTCGTACCAGTCAACACATTTGGTGCCTGAAGGATCGATCATCCAAACCTGTTCCATGATCGTCTTTGCCCTTTCTAGGTTCTTGAAGCTATATCTTTGTATGATGTCGTTAAATCTCTCAAGCATCATACGACGGTCCTTCTTGGTGGTACAGTTCATGCCTGCAATGAACATTGGGAAACAGAGAGAAGCTTCAACAGGTGATCTCAGAACAATATCTAGGCATTTCAAAAGTTCACACAGAATGAACTGCGTCTCTAGCGACGATGGGTTTAGCCGAAGAACAGATTGTCTCAGGTGAAGCTTAGCAGTGAATTGGAATAGTTCAAACAGAGTCAATTGTAGCTCAAGGTCATGGTTGCTAAATTCGCTCAAATCTGATGGGTCTGGTTTCACGATATTGATTTTATTCTCAAGAGCACTGGCTTTCTCCATGATCTGGAGAAGCGAAGAGTACTTGGTGAATATCTTCTCGCCTTGAACCGAGTTCACTGAATCTGGAGTATCGATACCTGGAATATCTGGAGATTCCTCATCTTTGTTAGTGTTGCAATTGTCGTCATCTTCATCGTCATCATGCATGATACCATCACCTAGGGAGTTTGAACTTATTTTCAATAAACGCTTTGCCTCAGTAGCCAATGTAGAGATCTCACCAATAATGTTAAACAATGGTTTCACAATACCTTGCAAAGGGTCGACACCAAACCCACAGTTGACGATAAACTTATCATAATCATCAACAGGGAAGTATGTTCCTCTTTCGCTTGCAGAGCTTGCAAGAATGTCATGATATGCAAAACTTGAAATCAACCAATGCTGTTCTTTATCCTGTCTGAACTTGTACAAACCACCTCGATCTTTGATTATCTTAGAGGCCCATTGTAAGAAAACTGGCCACTTGGTAACGTCTCCTTTACAGATCTCTGCTGCACACATAATCAGCAAGCTTGCCAGTCGTTGTAACGCATCGGAGTCAGATCCAATCGGGGTCTCTTTAATGTAATCTAGTGCCTTATCCATGTATCTGGTGCCTTCCCTTTCGAAATCACCACCCATGTGGTATCCTGCCCACGCCATGATCGAGTAAAGAACACCTTTGTTAACCATTGCCATTGGAAGAAAAACATTTGTGTAGTAATTCGACTCAGCAGGTACGATTGAAACAATGTTTGAGAGCTTATTTCTGTAGTAATCGTACAGAGTGGCACCTATGGGGTCTAATGTTATCTCTGACGGCACATTAGAGAATACATTCGTTATTTCGAATGCCATGTTTGGTGTGGAAAGAAATGCCTCCAGGTTGAATGGACTTGGTGATCGCGTATTAACAACACGATGTTCATTGGACATTGCACCTGGAGCTGTCTTAACTTTATCATCATCGTCATCCTCATCCGCAAGCGCATTTTCATCATTATCATTATCTTTATGGGTATCATTGTCGTTCTTCTTATTGCTATCGTCATACTCATCCTCGAGTAGTTGCAGCTTCGGCGAGTTCGAATAGTTGTTACGGATGTTCATCTCAAAGAGCTGTTGAAACTCTTGGAAGTTATCAAAAGGTGACAATGATTTCGATGTCAATGAATCAAATCTAGGAGAAGTGACGTGGTTGGCTGAGATTGCCGGGAAGTTAGCAAGATTTGTGCTCACAGGTGTTTGAAAGGAGCCATGTGATTCTGTATCTAGCGTCCTTAGTTCATTGTCATCATCGTCATCGCCCTCCACTGGAATGTCTGTTTGATGAGTCTGAATCACACGGTCATTATGAACATCATCCACAACAACAGGGCTTGTAGACGTTTTGTTGGTCTGATTCTTGCGCTCATTGTCGCATCTTTTCAACCGTTTTGACCGTCTTTCCTCTTCCTCCACCTTACGACGGAGTTGTTTGACATTCTCGTTGGTCATTTCATCTGTAGCCCAGACACAGTTCTTCCCCAAACGACGACAATCTGCACAGATTGGACGCTCTTGTGAACATCTCTTTTTCCGTATCTTACAAGTGATACATCCCATTCTACTTTTCTTTGTTGTGAATCTGAATATCCTCGAACGTGTCGCCTTATCAGCGTTGGCATCGAGGTTTTGCACTATGGATTCATCAGTTGTTGAGCCATTCACACCTGTGTTTTGGGCATCTGGAGAGTCCTTCTCAACCGACTTTTTCAGCCCATTAAACGTCAAAAACATGGTTTCTCTTGTATCAGTGGTATGCTTCGAATCGTTATCAAGTCTCTTTCCCTGTGTTGTTTTCGAGCGCGGTGTCTCTTGTGCCTTTTTTTGCATGTGTGCAGAGCTCTCACGAGTGTGTCTCTCTTTTTGTGAGGGGTGTGTGGGCGTGTTGTGGTGTTTTTGTTTTTGTCTCACACGTGTGTGTGTGTATGCTTCAGATAAAGAAGCAAATTCGAGATATTGCTAAGTGATGCTTGTCCAGAGAAAGAGCAGTAGCGATGGAGATGAACTTGTTTTCAGAAGAGCCGTGAACCCTTTAAATTGGGACCACTAGAAGATATCAAGTCCTCTCAAAGAGCGCAAATTGGGAGATCATCACAGAAATGTCCGGGTGCCCTTCGTGAAGGAGACTGTCACCATGCCAACCAACTTGGCCCGCCAGGCTTATACATTTGGGCGGGCCACGCCAAAGCGGCAAGTAACGAGCTTCCGAACCGACTTTCGTTTCTATAAGTCAAGTCGTAGCGCTGGCTGGTCAGGGCTCTAATGGTTAACAGGGAGCGTTTCCCATGGAGTGCTTGTTCTTTGCTTCTGATCTCACGGTGTTAATGTGTACGTCTTGAGAGTTTCTAATGCGCTACTGGTTGAGCGTTGGATTGTAATGTTCTTGTCGATGGCGTTAATAAAAAGTGACACAACTGAGAGATGGACACGGTGATGTGGTGTAGTGCGTGTTGTTGGGCTCACGTTCTTCCTGGAACGGTTGGTATTATGCTGAGCGGTACTCTATAACATGTAAAGTTAGCTTAGAAACATCGTGGAACTTTTCACCACCTATGCTGTACGTACGGTGCTTGCGCTTGTGTCTCACGTTGAGTGTTCGTTCGATATTTACCGTAAAAACACTGTTCTAAGCTCTGTGAGGTAGGATTTGTTACACTCCACAACAGTATTCAATATCACGATGTGTTGTCAGCCTGGAGAACTTCACAGCTGCCACGGTTGAGCGAAGTTGCTCAACTCTATTCATTCAAGTGCCAGCATTGATGACTCTCTGCGGGCCATATCCAGGTGCAAAATTGCGTTCTGGGAACGGGATCATGTTTGCAACAGTAAAGCCAGATTTGCAATTGTAGCCTCGAACCAGTGCTTACACACCTCTGTGATTACGTGCTCGATTCTTACATGTGCTCAGTATTGACGGCCTCATTTGTAGATTTGCTTAAAAAAATACACACATTAGTGGTTTCCGTCTATTACATAAACACACACCAAAGCCTTACATGGCTAGTTTCCTTCTCCCACTACAGCCTATTGAACGCCAGAATTCAATGGAGTTTCTAGGCTTCCCTACTGCCGAACGCTTAACCGTCTACGCTGTGTCCAGATTCAATGAATGAGCTGTGGAAACAACGGTCGTGCATCGAGGGTTAGACGTAATTGAGTTGATTCCGTGCATGACGCGGTGAAGAAGGGCTCATTACAGGGGGATAGAATTTCCTTTATGAGTAAACAATGTAGAGCGTGGTGTTAACCTAGTGCGTGCACCTACGGTAGCGTTCAACAGTGCCCACTTAGTTCACAAGAAGCTCTTAGCACCACCATGCCAACCAGCGGGAGAACCATCAACGGTCACGCCTCGCTCGCAGATGGACATCATCTTGACACCGGTGATAAGTTGTCCATCTCCATTAGTCGTGGCTAAGTCCGTCTTCATTTGGGTTTGCTATATGCCTAAGAGATCGCTATCTTGTTTCTCCTTGCGCCAACGCTGATATGTGGGCTGATAGGAGTTAGACGACGTCATTGTCAATCCGAAAGTAGTGTGCGTAATCCGCACGCCTGTGATTGGCTGGATATATCCTGCTTATCACGACCCCGCAGTGCATCTGCTTAGATTCCGACACGCTCACTTCCTGCCGGCCAGGCTGAAAGTTTTTATCCAGGCAGGGCAAATTTTTTCCTGAATCACACGGGAGAGGGAGGCAGCTGCCTGGGCACAAGGCAGCGGGCAGGGAAATTTCCAGGCCTGCTGAAACACACCCAACGAGCCTGGAACGAAAATCCAGTGGCCTGGTTCTCGTGCAGGCTGCTCCGCGTGGGCCCATCAACGTCTTCTGCCTGCGAGTCTCTCCGGTGGTGGTCGTACACTTAGTTTAATACGTTCAGGAGGACAAACAGACAGGCAATGAAGAACTTGCAGAGGTATCCATCTTGAAGGGCACTGGATGGAAACGTCCACCTGTTTGTTACTCCTTTTGTTTTGCGAATCCCATTTTGCTCCCACAGAGAAAGACGAGGTTTCCTGCTGTTGTTGCATTTCGCCGTCACCGTGCATGGTTTCAAATATTGCGTCCAATTCCCACGAGCTGGTGATCTAATCTATAAAACCAGCACCGATTCCCTCCAAAACTGTGCTCACCTTGAATGGAAAAATTTCTTTCCTTCTTTCCTCCCTCTTTCCAAATTTAGATCGATCTCTAAGAAGAGTCATTTAGAAGATATACAAACCATAGTCGTTTAGTGTATTGCACAACTACTGTAAGTGCTGCCAGTGCGTGTGCGCATTGTGTCCCGTGCTTGTCTTTTGCTTTAAGTCTGCTAACAACGTTATCCTCTCTGTACAGAAACGATGGCTTCTCTTCGACAGATTGATTCCTTTGACGAGGAGACGTACGTCTCCGACCACGTTTACTCCTACGACGAAGTCCCGGAGAACAAGTCCTGGGCCAGTGCTTTGCCTATTGCCAAAGGCCTGTACAACCCAGAGGATGAAAAAGATGCATGCGGTGTTGGTTTTGTCTGTAACATCAAGGGAGTGAAGTCCCACAAGATTGTGTCTGATGCGAGATTCTTGCTCTGTAACATGACACACAGAGGTGCAGTCTCTTCTGACGGCAACGGTGATGGTGCCGGTATCTTGATGTCCATTGGTCACAAGTTCTTCACAAAGGAGTTCAAGTACCTCTGTGATGTCGATATCCCAGGCGAGGGCCAGTACGCCACCGGTAACATCTTCTTCAAGAAGGATACCGCCATCCTGTCCCAATCTAAGGAGACGTTTGAAAGAATAGCCAAGAACTTGGGCCTCTCTGTGCTGGCATGGAGAGAGGTTCCTCATGATTCCTCGATTCTGGGCTCAGTCGCTTTATCCCGTGAACCAATCATTCTCCAGCCAGTTGTTGTGCTCTCCGAGCTCGTTGGCGTCCAGCTCTCACTGGAAGAGTTTGAGACTAAGTACGATAAGCAGTTCCAGAAGCAACTGTACCTGCTACGTAAGCAAGCTACAAACTCGATCGGCTTGCAAAACTGGTTCTACATCTGCTCCCTCTCCAACAAGCTTATTGTTTACAAGGGCCAGCTTACACCAGCTCAGGTTTACAACTACTACCATGATTTGAACAACGCAGACATTGAGTCCCATTTCGCACTGGTCCACTCTCGTTTCTCTACAAACACTTTCCCATCTTGGGACAGAGCTCAACCGCTGAGATGGTTGGCACATAACGGTGAGATCAACACTTTAAGAGGTAACAAAAACTGGATGCGCTCAAGAGAAGGTGTCATGGAATCCGCTCTCTTTGGAGACGAGCTGGAGAAGCTTTATCCAATTATTGAAGAAGGTGGTTCTGATTCTGCTGCAGTTGATAACGTTTTGGAACTTTTGGTGATCAACGGTGTCTTGTCCTTGCCTGAAGCAGTTATGCTCCTTGTCCCAGAGGCTTGGGAGAATGATGAAAACATGGATTCTAAGAAGAAGGCCTTCTACCAATGGGCTGCTTGTCTGATGGAGCCATGGGATGGTCCTGCTCTTTTCAACTTTACCGATGGCCGTTACTGTGGTGCTACATTGGATAGAAACGGTTTAAGACCATGTCGTTACTACATCACTTCAGACGACCGTATCATCTGTGGTTCTGAAGTTGGTGTCATTCCAATTCACGAGGATTTGGTGATTGAAAAGGGTAGACTGGAACCTGGCCACATGCTCCTTGTTGATACCAAGGAGGGTAAGATTGTTGATAACAAGCAGTTGAAGAATAAGATCTCGAGCAAGGTTGACTTCAAGTCTTGGTTGGCAAAGGTGATCAAGTTCGATGACTTGTACACTAAGTTTGAGTCCAAAAACATCTCCTTGGGATCCAACACGGAGGTTGACAGTTCTATAACCACCCAAACTGATCAGAGATTACAGGCCTTTGGCTACACATTTGAACAGTTGTCCCTTTTGCTTGTTCCAATGGCCACGAGCGGTAAGGAGGCATTGGGTTCCATGGGTAACGATGCTCCATTGGCTTGTTTGAATGAGAACCCTGTTTTGCTATTCGAATATTTCCGTCAACTCTTTGCTCAGGTTACGAATCCTCCAATTGATCCAATTCGTGAGGCGAACGTTATGTCTTTGAAATGTTTTATTGGTCCTCAGTCTAACTTGTTGGAAATGAATGCTAACCAGTGTAACAGACTTCTTCTCGAGTCTCCAATCATGAAACCAGCTCAGTTCAAAGCTCTCAAAAATATTTCTCAGATCATTCCTTCATGGACTGTGGCAAACATTGACATTACTTTCCCAAAGTCTGAGGGTCTCTTGGGCTACATGAACACCATTGAACGTATTACACAGGAGGCTTCTGATGCCATCTATGATGAACACCAAATCATTATTTTAAGTGATCGTGCAATTGGACCTGACCGTGTCTCCATCTCCTCATTGCTGGCTGTCGGTGCAATTCACCATCACTTGATTCGCCAGAAACAACGTTCTAAGGTTGCCATTGTCTTGGAAACTGGTGAGGCCAAGGAAGTCCACCACTTCTGTGTCTTACTCGGTTACGGTGTCGATGCTGTGTTCCCATACTTGGCTATGGAAACACTTGTGCGCATGAACCACGAAGGTCTGATCAGAGATGAGATTTCCGATGAGAAGATCATTGAGAATTATAAGTACGCTGTTGATGGTGGTATCTATAAGGTTATGTCTAAGATGGGTATCTCCACATTGGCTTCTTACAAAGGTGCTCAAATCTTTGAGGCACTGGGTATCGATAACTCTGTTATAGATGTTTGTTTCAACGGTACAGCTTCAAGAATTCGTGGTGTTACTTTTGAGTACATTGCTCAGGATGCCTTCTCCTTGCACGAGAGGGGCTACCCATCAAGACCAATTGTCAAGCCTCTGGGTCTTCCAGAGACTGGTGAGTATCACTGGAGAGATGGTGGTCCAAAGCACATCAATGAGCCAGTTGCAATTGCCTCTTTGCAAGATGCTGTCAGAAACAAGAATGAGCAAGCTTTTGACCTGTATGCTAAAAAGGAGTACGAAGCTATCAAAGACTGTACATTGAGAGGTTTGCTTGAATTAGATTACGAGAACTCCACCGCAATCCCAATAGATCAGGTTGAACCATGGACCGAGATTGCTCGTCGTTTTGCATCTGGTGCAATGTCTTATGGTTCCATCTCTATGGAGGCCCATTCCACGTTGGCTGTTGCCATGAACAGAATGGGGGCCAAGTCTAACTGTGGTGAAGGTGGTGAAGATGCAGAGCGTTCCTTGGTTAACGAGAACGGTGATACAATGAGATCTGCTATCAAACAAGTTGCCTCTGCTAGATTTGGTGTTACTTCTCATTACTTGTCCGATGCCGATGAGATTCAAATCAAGATGGCTCAAGGTGCTAAGCCAGGTGAAGGTGGTGAACTTCCAGGACACAAGGTGTCCAAGTCCATTGCAAAGACTAGACATTCCACTCCTGGTGTTGGTTTGATCTCTCCACCACCACATCACGATATTTACTCTATCGAGGATTTGAAGCAATTGATTTATGACTTGAAGTGTGCCAACCCAAGAGCAGGTATCTCTGTCAAGTTGGTCTCAGAGGTTGGTGTTGGTATTGTTGCCTCTGGTGTCGCCAAAGCCAAGGCTGACCACATTTTGATTTCCGGTCACGATGGTGGTACTGGTGCTTCCAGATGGACTGGTATCAAGTACGCTGGTCTTCCTTGGGAGTTGGGTCTTGCTGAGACCCACCAGACTCTTGTCTTGAACGACTTGAGAGGAAACGTTGTTGTGCAAACTGATGGTCAATTGAGAACCGGTTTCGATATCGCTGTTGCCGTCTTATTGGGTGCTGAGTCTTTCACTTTGGCCACTATCCCATTGATTGCCATGGGTTGTATCATGATGAGAAAGTGTCACTTGAACACTTGTCCTGTTGGTATTGCTACCCAAGATTCAGTATTGAGAGAGAAGTTCAAAGGTGCTCCTGAACACGTTATCAACTTTTTCTACTACTTGATCCACGATCTTAGAAAGATCATGGCCCGTCTTGGTTTCAGAACCATTGATGAGATGGTTGGCCACTCTGAGAAGCTTAGAGCCAGACAGGATCGCAATACCAAAACTTGCAACATTGACCTTTCTCCAATATTGACACCAGCTCATTCTATCAGAGAAGGTGTTCCAACAAGATTTGTGAAGAAACAAGATCACAAGTTGCACGTTCGTTTGGATAACAAGCTTATCGATGAAGCCGAAGTCACATTGGATAAAGGTCTTCCAGTTAGTATTGATGCCAACATTATCAACACTGACCGTGCCCTTGGTGCTTCATTGTCTTACCGTATCTCTAAAAAGTTTGGTGAGGATGGTCTTCCACAAGATACTGTTGTCGTCAACATTAAGGGTTCTGCTGGTCAATCGTTTGGTGCGTTCTTGACCTCTGGTGTCACCTTCTACTTGGAAGGTGATGCCAATGATTATGTTGGTAAGGGTCTCTCCGGTGGTAGATTGATTATTAGACCACCACGTGGAGCATCTTACAAGTCTTATGAAAACGTCATTGTTGGTAACACTTGTTTCTATGGTGCAACCTCTGGTTATGCTTTCATTAGCGGTGCTGCTGGTGAACGTTTTGCCGTTCGTAACTCTGGTGCCAACATCGTTGTTGAGAAGATCAAGGGTAACAATGCCTTTGAGTACATGACTGGTGGTCGTGTTGTTGTCTTGTCTCATATGGAGTCTACCAACGCTTTTGCAGGTGCTTCTGGTGGTATTGCCTATGTGTTGGTCTCTGACTTCAAAGAGTTCAGCTCAAGAGTCAACCACGAAACTGTTGGATTATCTGGATTAACGGATCCTGTGGAGATTGCATTCGTCAAGGGTTTGATCGAAGAGCACTCTCATTACACTGGCTCCGAGCTTGCTGATCGTATCTTGAAGAACTTTAACCATTATCTCTCCTCTTTCGTCAAAGTTTTGCCAACTGATTATAAGAAGGTCTTGGAGGAGGAGAAGAAGAAGGTTGAAGAGTTGAAGAAGCTGGAGTCTGAGACATTCTTGAAGTCATTCCAAAGATTGGACCCAGATGCTGATGTTACCAATGGAGACATCAAAAAGACCCATGCAACTTCGATCAAGTCAACTTTGAGGGAGCCAAAGATCTTGGATTTGGAAGACTCCATCACTGACAAAGCCTTTGAAGAGAAGAAGGTTGAGAAGCTTGATAAGCTCCGTGGTTTCATCACGTACAAGCAGCGTCATGAGACCTACAGATCCACCAAATCGCGTACAAGAGATTGGAAGGAGCTATCCAAGGCCATCTCCAAGAAGGATGCCAAGTTCCAAACTGCTCGTTGTATGGACTGTGGTGTTCCATTCTGTCAGTCTGACACTGGTTGTCCAATTTCCAACGTTATTCCAAAGTTCAACGACCTTGTTTTCAATGACCAATGGAGAGCTGCATTGGAGAAACTCTCTGAGACCAACAACTTCCCAGAATTTACTGGCCGTGTCTGTCCTGCACCATGTCAAGGTGCATGTGTTTTGGGTATCATTGAAGAGCCTGTTGGTATCAAGTCGATTGAACGTTTGATCATCGATCATGCCTTCGAGCAAGGCTGGGTTGTGCCAAAGCCACCAAGTGTTCGTAGTGGTAAGAGAGTCGCCATTGTTGGTTCTGGACCAGCTGGTCTTGCTGCCGCAGACCAACTGAACAAGGCAGGCCATTCTGTCACCGTTTATGAACGTTCCGATAGACCAGGTGGTTTGCTGATGTACGGTATTCCAAATATGAAGTTGGACAAATCTGTCGTGAAGCGTCGTACCGACTTGTTGGAGGCTGAAGGTGTTCAATTTGTCTGCAACACCGAGATTGACGATGTCAACGATTTGAAGACAGATTTCGACGCTGTTATTTTGGCCATTGGTTCTACCATTCCAAGAGATTTGAAGATCCCAGGCCGTGACTTGAAGAACATTGACTTTGCCATGACTCTGTTGACGAATAACACGCAGGCTTTGCTCGATGACTACTTGCCAGAGATTCGTTCCAAGCTGGAAGGCAAGAAGGTGATTGTCATTGGTGGTGGTGATACTGGTAACGATTGTATCGGTACTGCTGTTAGACACGGTGCTGCATCTGTTGTGAACTTTGAGTTGTTACCACAACCACCTCAAGAACGTTCCAGAGACAACCCATGGCCTCAATGGCCACGTATCTTCCGTGTGGACTACGGTCATTCCGAGGTTAAGGACCACTACGGTAAGGACCCACGTGAATACTGTATCCTTTCTAAGGAATTCATCGGCGATGACGAAGGTCATGTCAAGGCCATCAAGACCGTTAGAGTCGAGTGGAAGAAGTCGGAGTCTGGTGTTTGGCAAATGAACGAGATACCAAACTCTGAGGAGATCTTCGAAGCTGATATCGTTTTGTTGTCCATGGGATTTGTTGGACCAGAAGTTGCCAAAATGGAGGTCCAGAAGACACCAAGGGGCACCATTCCAACCAAGAGCCATGCCAGCTACCAGGTTGAGGAGAACTTGTTCACTGCAGGTGATTGTAGAAGAGGACAATCGTTGATTGTCTGGGGTATCCAGGAAGGTAGACAATGTGCTAGGGAGGTTGATATGTTCTTGGAGGGAAACACCAAGCTGCCAGGCAACGGTGGTATTGTCAAGAGAGATTTCAAGCTGTTGGAGGAGCTGGCCAGTGGGGTTGAGGCATGATTGCTGGCATCACTTTTGATATTTATTATGTATTTTGTGTATATTTATTGCAATGAGATTCACTAAGCTGTCTGACATGGCTGTACTTGGCGGTGTATCCCTGGTATGAACGATCCTTGAGTGCCATCTACACTGAGATCGTAGTCCAGGTATGCCTTCAAGCCACATGGACCACACGGTCCGTTTCACAGCTCACGGGCGCACAACCTCAGGAGGACGAGCCTTCATGACATCAAGCGCACTTTGCTCGCAGTGCCAACCTCGTGGCCTAGGTAAAGCATCAGTACCAGCCTACGTCGTCTCTCCCCAGCCAGAAGGCGCCTCACAGTGGCTATCCAGAAGTTAAGAGAACAACACCACGCACGCTCGCTGCTGTCTGAGGCCAAGCTGTGAATTTCGCGGCACTTAGCCCGTTATCTGATCTGTGTATGTTTGGTTCAGGCTCTCATTGGACCGTTCAGCGAGTGCAAGTTAGCCCTTGCTTTTGCTGTGATGTCATCAATTAACAGGCCAGAGATGCACACAGCATAGCCAGGCCATTGTGCCTTGCGATTGGATGATGAAGCCATCGGTACCTGGTGATAAAATGACGATTTGGAGGAGAATCATCACTGAGTACTCTTCGCTGATGATTTTCCTCCCTTCTACGCGAGTGAACGCTTGTGAACGCTTGTGGGGACTCGCGGCAGCGTAAAACCTGGCGGGAGGTTCTTGCCTGCGTGCGTGCTTGCCTGCCCAGAAGTGAAAACACGGCGCTGAGGGAAGCCCAAACGGACACAGAAAGTTGTAGGCAGAGGCTCTCGCCAGGGGGCTGCGGGAGAGGGGGTGAGGCCACGGAAGGAAAGACCACTGGAGGGTGCAGCGTTGGAATTCCCAAAATACGCTGGTAAAAGCATACAAAATTAATCAATTGGTGCCCAGACTTTATCAATTTTACTCATTATCAGTTGGTATACAACGTTGATTTGGATTTTTGTTCCCTTTAACGTTTTTTCCCTCTTCCTTCTCCCTTCTGTTTCTTGCTTTCCCCGTGTTTTATAGCTGGACGCTTGAGGAGCCATCCGTTCACAGACAGACAGACAGACACACACACACACACACACACGCTCTACTTCGCAGTTGTGAGCATTGACGCTTCATAGCTCAGTACAGACCTAAACATTCAACCAGTTCGCTTCATTTTCTAGCAAGCGTACAGTTTCACAGCCATGACTGGAAACAGCGCTGATCCTGAGGACTTCATCCCGGTGTCCTCGTCAACGTCTCAGCCGAAACAGGACCACAAGTACTACTACTCTACAGGACGTGGGGGTGCTTGGAATATCAAAGCTTCAAAGGAGCAACCACAGCCCAACGTTGTTGAGCAAGGCTCGCTAACCCCAAATCTTCTACAACCAGTGTTTTCAACGGGACGTGGAGGTGCTGGTAACATGCACAGAAATACAGACGCTAAGCTTGCAAGAAAGTTACAGGACGTTGATGCTGATCCAGAGGACTACATCACGCCAGTGATAAGTGGACAAGCCAATAACAATAACCCGATGAGCTTTGGTAGGGGTGGGTTTGGTAATATGATATCGCCAAAGAACTCGTATAACGAAAACCAAGAGAAGCAGCGTGAAAAGAACTCCTCAAAAGATGGAAGTGGTGGGTTCTTCAAGAAGGCTAAGAAGTTCTTCAAATCAAAGTAAACAGATAATGTTCAGATGTTCTAGTACAATTAATGATAGTATTACATTCTACGTCTCCGTCAGCCTGTACACACGCACACCTTATGACAAGCATGTAACAACAACGGCAAACAACATTGCTTTGGATTGTATACATTAAGCTCCTGTTCGAAACTACACCTTCGGGCCATTACATAAAGTCGTCGTCAGCAAAATCATCATAGTTATCAACGACAATATCTTGATCCTTCTTGAATGCACCACCGAGGTTTGGCTTTGCAGCTTTAGCCTTCTTCTTACCGGCTCCTCCAGTGGCTGTACCTCCAGCTTTGGACAATCTGGCCTGTCTTTCAGCTCTCTCCTTATCCTTAAGGACAACGTTAAGGGTGGAGATGACCTTTCTTATGTTCTCAGTAGCCATAGGCTTACACATATCTCTCGTAAGATCGATTGCCAATGAAGAGGCATAGTTCAGAGAGCTCTGTTCAGCCAGTCTATTCATCTCAGTGGTTAATGCCTTTCTCAACTTTTCGTAATCTTGCTTGGTCTCTGGGTTGAAAATTGGGTGTGCTGATAGCGGAGTGTCAATGGTCAGCTTCTGTTCTTGTGCTTTGGCCTCAGCTGCTGCTTTCAACGCCTTCTCACGTGGATGTTCGTTCAATCCTAATCCACCAAAGAGATCTGCAGCGTTGTTGAGATCGGCTTCCAACTCCGCCTTTCTCTGTAGTTCTTTACGAGTCTTTTCATCAACAGAATCGAGTTCGGAGGTTATTACCTTCTTACCAGCGGTCTTTGCACTAGACTTCGCCGTGGTGGAGGCCTTGGCCTTTGGCTTTGGCTTTGGCTTCTCTTCCACCTCCTCAGCGTCCCATGATTCTAAAACGTCATCGTCGTCAGCTGCAAAGTCGTCATCCCAGCTCTCTGCAACTTTGGCATTGGAGGTTGCTGGAACCTCAAAGTCATCATCGTCTGGAAAAGAAATACATCGTGTTAGTCAATCAGAAGCAACACACCCTGAAGCTACGCTACGTACCCCAACTCATTGTGAATTCTAATACGTTCTAATGAAATGTCTTCACTGTATGGCAAAAGTATCGAATTAGCGAAAGATGTCCACCCAAAAAAAAAAACGACAAGAGACAAAAGACAAAAACCCAGAAAGCGGACAAACATCCGGTTAGCGCAGCACAACAACATTCGAGAAAAAGTCGTGCCCGGAAACCAGGTGAAAAGTTTGGAAAAGTTTGGCCATCAACAGGGAGAAGTGGAATCCAAAGTCGACAGAAGAGACGACACGTTACTAATCTCAAACTAATTATACATACAAATCATGTCTGCTGATCACACTAGAGATCCATGTCCTATTGTCATTCTTAACGATTTCGGTGGTGCCTTTGCTATGGGTGTATGTGACCGTGTGCTTGTATCTTTGTGCTTGTCTGTTGTGCTGTACTAACGTTTAATATTAGGTCATTGGTGGTTGTGTTTGGCACGGTATCAAGGGTTTCAGAAACTCTCCATACGGTGAACGTTTCCCGGGTGCTATTTCTGCTATCAAGGCCCGTGTACCAGTGGTTGGTGGTAACTTTGGTGTCTGGGGTGGTTTGTTCTCCACCTACGACTGTGCCGTGAAGGCTGTTAGAAAGCGTGAGGATCCGCTCAACGCTATCATCGCAGGTTTCTTCACCGGTGGTTCCTTAGCAATCAGAGGTGGATGGAGACACACAAGAAACTCTGCCATCACATGTGCCTGTCTTCTTGGTGTGTTTGAAGGTGTTGGTATGATGTTCCAGAGATACATGGCATGGCAAAACAAGCCAATGGCTCCTCCTCTCCCGGAACAACAAGCTCCTCTTTCAGCTTAGACTCTGTTTGAACCACAGTTTGCCAATGTCCTTTGTATTAACGATTACGTTCCACACGTCTAGTGTTTTGTCCTTTTTATATCAGTTTGCCTTTTTCTTTTGTATGTGTGGGTGTGCTTGTACATATGTATGCTGTTGTTATTGAGCAAGCTCTGCAAGCTCTGCAAGCTCTGCAAGCTCTGCAAGCTCTGCAACGGCACCAACGCTTTAACGATGCCTTTGATATCGAGATTACACATACAAACCTTTGTAGAACCACCATTATATCATTATTATTAACTTCCAAAGTTTTGAAACAGAAACAGTATACAAAAAATTAGACAGATCTCTTTCGAGAGCTGTTTGATCTGCTGTCTGATAACCCTCCAGTAGAACCAGGTGGGGACCATGACCCGGTAAACTTCTCACCAGTGATAAATGGATGCAATATAGCCTGTTGAGGAGTCCATCTCTGTAATGGACTCCAAATTAATAAGCCTCTCAAGAGATGCAACAACGACTCACGATCGTTGTTCTCTTTCTCAATCATAGTGGACGTCATACTCTTCCGATTCATATCATACTTCGTTATGAGGACTTGTAGGTCATCAGATTTGAGAAATTTATCACCTGGTTTCTCTTTCAACTTATACTCCTCACAGTATTTGGCCAATGACTTCATCTTATACTTATGATCCTCAGTCTTTTCAAAGAATCTCAAGCCATCACGTCCCATATCAATCATCCAGGAAGGTGGCATTCCCAGTATCGTGACAATTTTCAACAGTTGATCATACTCTGAGCTACCAGCAAAGAGTGGTAGTCCAAGAAATAGCTCTGCAATGACACATCCAAGGGACCAAACGTCAATAGAGGAGGAATATGGCAAACCAAGAATCACCTCTGGAGATCTGTAGAATCTGGATTGGACATAAGTATAAAGCGTCTGATGCTCCTTACATGCAGATCCAAAGTCGACAATCTTGATATCTGGTTTATCGGGTGAGATCAACAGAATATTCTCAGGCTTCAAATCACAATGGATGATCTCTGCACGTTTCAACACGCATAATGCCTCCAACAGTTGCTTTGAGAATTTCCTTACAAGGCCAATGTTCAAGCCTTTATACTCATTCTGTTTAACCAGTTCAAACAAATTTGAGGATAACAGTTCAAAAACAATACAGAGATGGTTCTTGAATAGAAACTTATCCTTCAACCTCAACAGATGGAATTTGTCATTAGGATCCACTTTTTGGTTGATGAATTCCAATAGGGCAACTTCTGCAAGACTTTGATAAGTACATTCATGTTTACATTTGACAATCTTTATGGCGACAAATTCCTTTGTAGATAGATCCTGACACTTGACAACTTGTGCAAATGTCCCCTTCCCCAAGACGTCTAGTACGAGGTACTTCTTACTATCCTGTTGTCCCAAGACATCGTTAACGTACACGATGAGATTTCCTTCTTCGTTATCGAATCCATTATTCGACTTCCCTTCGCTTGGTTTAGTCAGCACCCTCTTTGGGTTATTGCTGACTTCATAATGGAAGTCGGTGTTGCATAGTGTGAAAGTTGTACAGATCTCAGTAGTCAAAGCCATGAGAGGTGAGATGTACTGCGTGGCCATCGACGCACGACGATACTTGGGCATCTTGTTGATCACAGGGTGGAGATCTGCCTTCGATAAAACTTGTTTCAATGTCGGTGGAGGCATCTGTTTCAATTGGAACCCATGCACCAGAGACGGCCTTCTGTTAGTGAAATTAGACAACTGCGCTTGAGCCTGGCTCAACGGCTGCGGAGTTGGAACCGTTGCAACTGACTGACGTCTGTGTAAGTCATTCAGAGTCACCGACTGATCTGCAAAATACGTTGGCGGAGGTGCTGGTGCTCTCTTTGGAGGGTATATAAGGGAGTTCTTCCTTGGTTGCTGCTGTGGCTGAGTCTGTGGAGGTGCTCCATAGTCCTGATATTCATACGTGGTTGGTAACGTTGGCGAGTTATAGTAAGAGCTCCGTGTGTTTGGTGTCATCAAAGCAGCATCACCACCAACAATCGAGTTCCCAGTCACTGTTGAAGCAGATTGCGGAGAGAATTGTGAATGCGCCTGCGACGGAGACCTCTGCGATGAGGACCATGGGTTATTGAACTGGCTTGTCGGTGAGCCATACGGATACAAATTCAGCTGCTGTTGTTGTTGTGACATTTGCTGAACGTGAGACTTTGGGTTCAACGTAGGTGACAGCTCATTGTGCTGCTGCAGTCTTGGGGTAGTTCCCAAACCACCAGTTGGGATGTTTGACTGAGCATAGTTTGAGCTCCATTGGAAACCTTGTTCTTGATTTGCCGATGATCCACTTCTCTGCCGTGTAGGTGACCCGGACGTCGACCCCATTGGTGAAGTCTGCGTGGAGTTTTGGTCCTCCAAGTACGGTTGCTGCGTACTGTAGTGATACGACATACGAAAATTCCCCTATGAAGCCAAAAACCGTAGGCCAACAGGTCCAATAACAAAAACCACTCAGATCAGAATGTGGTCACCAGTATCGCCCAGCTTGGCTCGTTGTTCTTCTATATGAGGGAACAATTGCTATGATCTGAACTAGCTGATTGATATAGGCAAGCAGCGTAGAAATCAAAAGGAAATATAACTTCAAAGTTCCCTTTTTTGCAAACCCTTAAACAAACCAAGAAAAGGAAGAAAAGTCCCACAGGGAAGCGCTGCCTCCCCAATTCCGACGCTGAGCCTGATCTTTCCGCCCGGATTGTGGGTGTGGTGTCCGGGTGTGCGTATGGGTGTGGGTGCAGGCGCGCAACTGCGTATCTGATATTGACACGTGGGGAATGGCAGAATGACATAATGTACTACATAAGTGATGATTACATAAGTGACGATTACATAAGTGACGACGTAACAGCTGCGTTCATAAGTGATTACCTAATGGCGCCGAACAGGTCATCCGAGCCGAATGGGGAAGCGTTAACCATTCATGAAAATGTGCCATCTTGTGCCTCTTAGAAAGCGGAGGAGACAGCAAAAAGGCAGTCATTTCTTTAGAGGAGCATGAACGCTCTCCTTGGTTGTGTCTACTGAGATGCGGCAAGACATTTGATGAGGATGTCGCGGTGGACAAACAGGTTACACGAGGCACAACAGAAGGTGCGGTCTGCCAGAGACTGTGTGTGTTTTATTGTCCCGCTGCCGGTGCAGGTTTTGCTCGTGTACTCTTCAGTCACTCTCGAGAGGCGTGTCCCCGTGACTTGACATTTGAAGGCCAAACACCGGTGGATTAGGGAGAGACAGAATGAACTGGAGGACGAGATGTGACAATTCACGAGTGTTTTTTGGGGTAGGTGTCGATGAACTCAGCGATGTGTTTCGCGGTTACCATGCGTGCCCGGACAATGTGGTAAGGACACACGCCTTCCAGCTTCGTGAACAACGCGTGGTGAGTGGATGGTCTACACTGGCTCATGATGAGGAGGATGTTTGCTCCCTTCCGGATTCGATGGTAGAAAATACGAGCGAGATGAGGATCTTATCAAATGTCCGTTGTGTGCTTCGTAAAACTTTCCCAGCTGGAAGGGCTTTAATTTTTAGGCTTGTATTTTTTTATCGGAGACTTTTCCTGCCCCAAATCAGTTTTGCTGTCATTTTGTTGTGCCTTTTCGTGGTCCGACAGCAGTTTTAGATTTGGCGCAAAGGTCTACAAAAGGGGCTCTGTTTTGGGCAACAGGTGTAATCTTTTCCAACGGCGCCGTAAAGGTTTGCTGGTGAATTTCGCTTGCCTGTGAAGCAAAAAAAGGCCCAGAGACCACCGAAAAGGGGTGTTATGAATAATCAACAAGTTTAAGGCAATAACCAAGTGTTTTTTCTTTAACCTTTTAACTGAGCCACAAGTCAACTCCCAATTCTACTCGATTAGGCTTAACCATATCGTTGCATTTTCCCAGCATTCTACACCATCACACTACAACACAACAGCATCCGCATCGTAATGTTCATTTCCAGAGTAAAGCTCCAGTGTCTCCAAGCGGCACAGCGTGGCTCAATTTGTAAAGCACTGGTCAAGACGAATCCTAGTGGGCTGGTATGTGCAAGCCTTGGTACGAAACGTGGATTCCATAGCTCAGGAGTGACGCTTCAAAGCGTACAGAAACCGTGGAGACAGCTATCGGACGATGACAAGCGTGAGTTTATCCGTCAGTTCGTGGAGATGTACCGTTCGAAGAATTCATGCACAAAGAACTACTACAAGCAACTGGCGGCGGGAATGGAGGAGTTTGATGATATCCCGGCTATATTTGGCTTGTTGTACAACGACCTTGCGGACAAGAAGATCCACAACGAGACCACTGCGGAGTTTGACTCTGATTTCTTCACGTTGGTGAAATGAGCTCTGTATATGTAATCACAGCTAATATGATTGGATCAACCTGTACGTTCTGCCAATGTGATTTATCCGTAGATCGGCTAAGCGCCTGCAAATGCGTATGGACTTTGAACGTAGCTATGTGAGCAAATAGCCATGGCAGAGGTATACACCAGAGTACCAACTTGGCCAGTGTGAAAGCCCGTCAGAGTACCCGTAATGCAGCTAATCCGTAATCCATAGCCCATTTAATGAATTGTGATCTGGTGCCGTATTTGGAACCTCCCTCAATAGTGTAATCCCTCGCAAAGTTTCTCCAGGGGAATCATGTCAACAGTAGCTGGCCCAATATGCCTGGTTTAAAAATCAGTTGATGATTTACACTGCTTATTGATCTCCACAATCGTACGGTACTTACAGCTCAAACTGGAAAAACACACTCAAACACAGCAAGAACCCACCAGACAGCCTTGTGGTGGAATAACAGGCACTACATACCAAACTAACAACCACGCAGTTATTTCCCTCTCAAGTGGCCTTTTTTTTTTTCTTTTTCGCTCCCATTGTACATATTTACAACCTATCACGGCTCGTTCTATTCAAATTCTCATGCACAGATCGCTCAGCAAAGCGAGTCCGGTTACCGCACCTTGCACCCGCTTGTTGCTGTAAAGCCACCACTTCCAAGCGTGCTCTACGTAATGTGCGCTCCCGATCTGCTCCTGTGGTACATGTAGGGCTTTGGTGTTGGCTCTTGCTTGGTTTTATGTATGTGGTGCGGGTTTCATCTCCACTCGTGAACAAGTGACACCACTTTCTCTCCGTTGCTGTTGCGTTTCGTAAGAGGCTCACGGATTAATTAGTCCTCGTAGCTTATAGGGAAGTGGGTGTGGTTTCAGAGCACCTTACATAAATTCAAAAGTATAAAAGGAGTCTGAAACCCACACCTTGAATCGATCTCTGACCACCCCTCTTACACTCTGTGAGTTGAAATCTCAAGAAGAATTGTTTCGAACACACAATACACCACGTACACCCGAGAAATGCTATCCAGTACTCTGAAGTACCTCTCTACCCCAAGGACTTTCCGTTTATCTGTGGGACCTGCAGCAACAACGCTGTCCATGTTCCAAAGAGGTTCTACACAGGAGCTTGAGAGGGCAAAGGAGACTTTCCTATACCTGCGTGAACATTCCTATCTTGATTTCAACTCACATTACAAGTCATGGATGGAGTTGGATCGTGGTGAGCAGGACAGGTTTATCAATGACTATATCAAGTTGCACGAGGCCACGGTGGTTCCAAGATCACACCCAAGATCAGTGCGCAATGCCATAAGACAGATGTACAACGAAAACAAGGATGTCGATTTCATGTTTTGCTACTTGTACGAGGGTCTGAAGGACATGGCGCATGAAAGTGAGCAGCAGGGCGACGTCTTGAGGGACGACACCTATGACTTACTCGTTGAGCGAGAACACTGATGGCTTCAAACAAACATACAACACAACCTATTTATAAGACGTGGAGTTTCAGACCAACAAAGGGTCCTCTGTGCAAATTATTTATTATCTTCAGTGCTGGTTTCACTGACATTGCTACTGTTCTTGAAGAACATAACATCAACGGAGAAAATCAGCCTTATTTATAAGACGTGGGTTCACACACATGCTCATTTCATTATTTTTTGACCTGACATGATTTGTCTCGCTATAACCTATGCAGAGCTTTATTTATTTTCTATTTATTCCAACATCAACGGCTTAGTCGGTCTTATCGGCCCAATAGTTGAAGAAGAAACAACTGTGAAGCAGTTTTAACGAATTCTAACGACTTTCATTTATTCATATCATGTAGTTGATTCATTGGTTATAATGAAGTTTCTAGATCGTTGAGGTACTTTACAAGTGCAACGTTATTCGTGTCAGCTGCGTGTTTTGTAAAGAGTTGAACTTTGGACTTCAACTGTTTGAGGTAATCACCACTGAGCGTTGTGTCGATCAAGTTGAGAAACCGTAGAGAGCGGAGACAATGTACTATTGTGGTGGAGATCTGCTGGTATGTCTTGTACACCAACCCATTAGAAATGTACTGAATGTTACTCAGATACTCCATAGGATCTTCAATGTGTAAGCTGTACAACTCCAATTTTGGCTCATTATTGACCTTATCCACTTGGGCCAATAGCTTTCCAAATTCATCGAGTTCTGATTTGGCTTCACCACTGAACTTATCCAAGAGCCTTGGTTTAAATTTGTCAAATTGACATAGTATGCTGGTTAAATTCTCCAATGTGATTTTCTTCAGAATAGTTTCATAGATGGCATTTTCCAGTCTTGCCTTGTTGAACCATGACGTTGTAACAACGAAAGTATCAATCTTGACGAGTTCATCCAACTTCATTGTCCTGATCTTTGCCTCTAAGCACATCTCTAACTCTGCCAGTTTGTTGTCCACCAAACCAGCGCGATCCTGGAACCATTTGTCCTCAATTGGTAGTTTGTTCAGTACCTCACAAATCTCACTAGCTGAATTCAACGAGTTCAGATTCAACAATTCACTCATCACTAGAAACAAATCCGCATTCTTAACAACCCTCGCGGATCTGTCGTCAGCCTTAATAGGTGTAGAGGAGTAGAACCTGGAAACGTTGGATTCAATACTCATGTTATGGCTTAGTCTCGCAGTGTTCAGGAAGCACAAGTCATAGAGCCTCTGGTCACATGTCTTTGACATCGAGTTCATCTCGATGATTTCATCCGCGGTGCTCAAGAGGTCCCTGTATTGGGAAGCAACAAGTGTACGCAGTTCAGTGTGTTTATTCTGTGCTGTCACAGACAACGAGCTCGAAAGCTCTGTGATGTCCTGTAGAGAATACTTTTCGAATAGCTCATTGGCATTGGACTGAAGAGCATCAGCGATCTCGATCGTCATTCTGTTCCAGCGTGTTCTTTTTGTCGTTTACACGGTATGCTCACAATCTTTAGTAGGAACCGTTGGAAATTCAGCCCAGGAAAAACCGTCCGCCGTGGGCCCCTGCGGAGAGCAACAACAAAAGCCCGCCTACAAAAACACACACTTTTAGAAGGACAGGAGGGAGCCCACCTCTATGGAGACAGGGATACTACACAGCGTTGACCCAATGACATCGCTATTTCTTGGGCTGAAGTTCCTATTTATTCCAAATTCCAAAGCTGGTGTGTCAAAGATACGGCAGAAGTTGGCGGTGGATCATGGTGCACAGATATGTAGCGCATTTGGTGAAACATCAACAACTCATGTGCTTGTTGATACAAAAGTTGTGCTCACGGCCAATACAGAAGCGCTTATAAGGACGTTGAAGAAATTAGGGCTACGTGATATTGCGAAAACCAATGTGCCAGTGGTAGGCCAAGAGTGGTTGGTCCAGTGCGTGTCGAAATCTGAGCTGCTACCGACGGCTAACTATACAATTGACCTAGCGCGGCCATCGGCTAAGAAGAGGAAGGTGTCATCGCTCAGGAAGGCGGAGTCTCGACCGATAGTGGACACCACACTGGAGCCCGGTGAGAAGGTCTTGGATAGTCCGAATCAGACAAGCGTTGATGTACTCAACGAGATGGCTGAACAGCACAGGATTAACGGTGAGGCGTATAAAGTGAAAGCCTACAGGAATGCCATTGATACGCTACAGAGAGTATCAACGCCTGTGACGTCTTACAGCCAGGCCATCCAGCTGGAAGGAGTGGGCCCTGCGATTGCGAAAAAGATTGAAGAGATATCAAGGACTCATCACCTTAGGCAGTTGGATGTGTCAAAGGGCTCCAGGCATACTCAACTGATGAAGTTGTTCAAGGGTATTTATGGTGTTGGCACTGTGATTGCGAAGAAGTGGATTGACGAAGGCATGACGAGTTTGGACGACATCAAGAACAGAACAGATCTCACAGATGCGCAGAGACTAGGGCTTCAGTACTATGATGAGTGGAATGAGAGGATTCCACGGAGTGAATGTACTATTCATGCCGAGTATGTCCAATACATGTTGAATAGAGTGGATCCGCTCATAGAGGCAACTATTGGGGGAAGCTACCGACGTGGTGCAAAGACATGTGGTGATATAGACTTCATTGTTACCAAACCAGATGCGACTATGGAGGCTCTACAGGCGGATATGGATAATCTAATAGACACGATCAAACAGGCAGGGTATCTCCAGTGCATCTTACATCACCACGTAAAGAACAAGCTTTTAACTGGATGCTCGCTACCACCTTTATGGAATAAGAAAGTTGACGGTCAAGGAGAAGAATGGGGGAAGTGTCGTCGAGTGGATTTTTTACTGGTTCCCTGGAAGGAATTGGGTGCTGCGATGATCTATTTCACCGGTGATGATGAGTTCAATAAGAAGTTAAGGTATAGAGCACAGAAACATGGTATGGTGTTAAACGGCACTGGGCTCTACAAGATTGTCAGAGATGGGTCGAAGGAGAGACATGAGCTTGTTGAATCATTCGACGAGAAAAAGATCATGAGTTTGCTCAATGTCAAATGGCATGAACCAGAGCAGAGAAACACAGGTGTCTTTGATATTGCCTGGAATGGATGATTTCTAAAGGAAGCTGATAATATGTATGCATATCTGTGGGGTCCACCTGTGGAAAGTGCAGGATAGCACTATGACGTCGATGAGAGGAGAAAGAAACTACGACATTATCACGAGTTATCTGTATAAGTAAAGTTCTGTACAGGTCAATAGGGGGCGAGCATTGTCTTTTCTTCTTAGAATTCGAAGTTGGACCAATCAAAGGGGGGAATTTCCATTAAGGAGAAGAAGAATGGCCCAGACAGCTCAAGTTTATAATACGGCCTTTATCACATGAAATGCAGCAAGTCACTCAAAACTATAGCGAAAAAAAAGCAAGAGTCGCTAGTGAAGCAAATTGTGACCTGTAGGCTGTGTAGTTTAACCTAGCGAGGTTGGAAAGTATATAAAGTAATATTGTTTTCCAATATTCACTGTCAACCTTTTCATTCCTCAGTAATCATTCACGTCATACGATGCTTTACAAAACCATAGCCTTCTCATATAGCCTTTTGTTTGCACTTGCTCAAGCTCAAGAGATTGATACAACTGAGGCAGCCAAACCTTTTGTCATTGGAACAACTCTTGATGCAGTCCAGGCAGATGATATCTTTGGGTTTTCTATTCCATCGTTCACTATTCCATCATATACCATTCCAACTTTAGATGTCACATCAATCAATAGTGTAGCTTCAAGTTATATCATGTCATGGGAAAGTGCCAAGAGTGAGTTTGAGCAATCTGTTAAGACCGTTATCGAGAGCGCAATTAGTTCCGTTGAGAGTTACACCGACAATGATTCTCTCCAGGATTCGATAAAAAGCGTAACACATCAGGTTATTGAATCTATTGAAAGTGTAAAGAGTGAGTACGAACAGTCAATTGCAAGTGTCACAAAGGCAGCTATTGAATCTTTGAACTCTGAACAAACTTCCATCGATTCGCAGGCATCGTCTGCCTTGTCACACATCAGTGTAAGTGCGTCTGCTTCCGCCTCAACCATCAGTACTGGTACGTCTTCCACCCTCTTGTCATCAACTTTGTCTTCAAAGTCATCAATGAGCTCCTCTGTTGCGTCGGAAAGCTCAACCTCATCAACTGCAAATGGTGCGGATAGTGTTTCACAACAAAATACAATTCTTCCAGTTGTTCTATGTCTGGTTTCCTCATTGCTGGCGTTTCTTTGATAACATGGTTAGCTGCTTAGAATACACATGAGTTGACGTATACTCCATTACTTTGGATCATTTTTGTAGTTGGTTAAACGCTTTAAGTTCAAAAGGAATATTCATTTCAGGGGAAGAGTAAGGATATACTATTGCCATTGAGGTTAATTTACCAAAAAAGGAAAACAATCAACAGCTGTGTAACAAAGCCTACGAAAGGGCTTATGACAATAGGTGTATTTTTGGAATTATCAAGATCCTTAGTCTGGGAGGACGGTTAATTCTACAAGAAAGCATCATATACGAGACAAGGGCTTTGTGAGGATCCAAGAGCTGGCTGGTATTTAATTAGCTGCAGGTACCTCTAAGCCCTGATGGTGAGATCAAGAGTGACGGTGTCGATCAAGCCCTGCAGTGGCGTAAGCTGGAACGGGATGGAGTGCTAATTCTGGAGGTACCCAGTTTCTCCTGGCGTGATCGACATTCTCCAGAAATTGGGTACCCTATAGACTCGTTGAATGAGCTTGTGCTGTATCTTCATCGTAATCATACACAGCACAACCTCTTCCAATTAGTATAGTTGTAGGCAATTTGCCGTGAGCAATACTCAGGAATTGATGAACACATACGAGACTGTTAAAATTTAGTTTCTACATCGATCAGGTTTGACACTGCAGAAATAAACCAAGAAAACTATTCAACACGCTAAAATTCTTATCCAGCTTCTGTTTACAAATTTCCCAAATAGGAAACATCTTCGAGGTTTGGGTAAGAAAAAACCAGGCTATTTTTAGCTGTTTTCGGCATAGCCTATGTGTCAAGAGATGATCTATGATTGAAACAGGCTGTGATGGATCGTATACAGATTTAGAGAGAGCAGAAATATTTAAGAGCTCTCAATTCCTCTTTGATTCTTCAGAAAAAAAAAAGTCTTGTCTTTTAATCGTAATCAACTCGATTGTTTCATATACATAATAAACATCAAACACAAAGAAAATTAACAATGCTTTACAAACAACTTGCTCTCACATCGTTGTTCTCTCTGGCTCTGGCACAGAATGGTGGATTGGACGAAGGTGCTGCTCAAACAACCACCGCTGCTGCTCAAACAACTCGTGAGACTGAAGCCACTACCGGTGGTACTGATATTGTTGCAACTACCAAGGCTACTGTTGGTACAGCAGCCACAACAGAAGCTACCGGAGTTGCTGCTTCACAGCAAGTAGGTCCAGTCTCTGCTGCTGTTCAATCGACACCAACACTGTCTACACCAGAAGCACTCTCTGTGACTCAACAGGAGGTATCTGCTCCAGCATCGGCTGTTGTTGCATCCCAAGAGACAATTTCTCAAGTCGCTCAGAACACAGAGAACACTGCTAGTACCACCGTCTGGTGGACACCAACACAGACTGTTTGGTGGACTCCATCCCAGACAGTGTGGTGGACTCCTTCAACAGCTTCCAGTGTGAGTGGAGGCACTACCACGCTTGCTGGCGTGAGCACTTATGTCTCTGGGTCTTCAACTTACACCACATCCTTGTCTAGAGATGTCAGTGAAACGGTGCTCACCACTTCCGAGAGCCTTATAACATCAGTGCTTACACAGACGTCAGGATCATCAACAGAGCTGTCCACAACAACATACACAAGCTCCTCGGTATACACAGTGCTCAGCAATAGCACCAACGGAGCTGCTGGCGTATCGGCATCGAAGAACAGCTTCATCTTGCCTGCAGTAGTGTGTGCAGGTGCTTTGTTGATGGCTTAAAGGAGCCGGATAAGAGAGCTAGAAGCATAGCAATAAAGGACTGTCACTTATTTGGTATATATATGTATATTAGAGATATAAACTTGGTAGTTTATCTTTAATTGTCACAATAATTTGTAGTTATTATAAAATGGCTTGCTAAGTTATGGGTCTCCTGTCAGAAAGCTGGCTGCCCTGTTTGGTAATTCGCACTATAAAAAGAAGCGCAATCTCACGTACTGAAAAAACAAACTTACCTAGCTACAATTACCACCGCAACACCGCCAGAAAGACCGTTTATACCCTCAGTTAAGCTGCGATGTCTGGAGAAGAGCCTGCCCAGGGCTCATCCAGTAGCATATATAAAGGCACTACTCATTTGGACGAACCTGTGGAGCCACAACACTATCAACAGGATGAGGAGCATGATAGCGAGGCCCTGCGCCAGCCACATCAATCTTCAGGCCCAACTTCCATATTTGTAAAGTCCTTCAGGGCTTTATTTGGCTTCAGGAAGACCTCGTTGACGATTTTTGTTGGACTGACGCTGTTCCTGGTATTCATTAGCTTGCCATTGGCGAGAGATTATGCTCTTGTTGTTCCCTCACCTGAACCAAGTGAATTGACCAGTGCATGGTTTGACTTGCAGAAGATATCACACAAACCACATCCTTACGTATCCCATGCGAACGACGAAGTTCACGACTACCTCATGGAGAGAGTCACTCAGCTGGCTAAGAGTTCTGTCCTTAACATCACCATCGACGATGACAAGGCTTCCAATCTGACGTACTTTGACATCCACTACCTCTGGAAAGATGGAGATGCCGACTTCAATCCCTTGCACTATTTTGAAAGCTCAAACATTCTTGTGAAGATTGAAGGAAAGGATAGTAAGCTGGACGGCATCCTTCTCAGTGCCCATTACGACTCTGTGGGAACCTCGTACGGCACTACTGATGACGGTGCAGGTGTCGCTTCACTCCTGGGAGTGTTGGAACATTATGCCCTCACGGGCAAACAGCCTCTGCGTACCATAGTGTTCAACTTCAACAATAACGAGGAATTTGGACTGTACGGTGCTATGTCCTTTTTCAAACACAAATGGTCAAAGCTTGTCAAGTACTTCATTAATCTTGAGGGAACAGGCACAGGAGAACGTGCAGCTCTATTCAGAACAACTGATTATGGTGTCGCTCAGCTCTATTCCAGTGTGAGATCTCCATTTGGCTCCTCTATATTCCAACAAGCCTTTGCCACTGGTGTGATTAGAAGCGAGACTGACTACAGAATTTACCATGAGAATGGTCTCCGTGGTTTTGATATTGCGTTTTACAAGCCGAGAGACTTGTACCACACAGTGGCAGATTCAATTAAGCACACTTCAAAGGGCGCACTATGGCACATGCTTGGTAATACTTTGGATTTGACTAAATCATTGGCAAATGCCAAGGATATAAGTGATGATGAGTCTGGTGCCGTGTTCTTTGACGTACTTGGGTTGCAGTTCTTTGTCACCTCATTGAATGCCTTGATTACTGCTAATATTGTCCTCCTGACTATCGTACCAATTGCCTTGATCTTCTTTGGGATAATCATCCATAAGAGACAGATATGGACAACTGGTTACAGCTGGTTTAGATTACCAATCTCCTTTGCACTGGGGTTGTTTTTTGCAAATGCAGTTAACAAATCGATCTACTACTTGAACGGTTATATCGTTTCAAGGAATTTTATTTCACCATTGATTGCAGTTTCTGCAACGTTCCTTCTTGTGAACTACGGCTTTTTAACTATATCCCAATCTTTGGCACCAGTTCATGATTTCAAACTGATCATCACTTTGGAAGTGTTTGTCGTTCTTTGGGTCTTGCTTCTGTATTTCACCATCCGGGAGAAGACACAGGTTGGAATAACAGGTGCCTATCTTGTGACTATCATTTATGCCCTATATTCCATTTCAACAATCTTGGGGCTGTTTGGAATTGCAGTTGCCTCTCAAAGAAAGAAACCTCTGAACGACAACCAGTACCTACAGCCTGGAAATGTCTCCACAAGAACCACTGATGAGTTTGATGAAAATACACCTTTGATTGATAGAGATGACGTTGATGAGGAAGAGGAGGCACATCCAGAGCACAACTCATTCACTTATGACTGGAGTCTACAGTATTTGGTTCTTGTTCCTATTCCCTTGTTGCTGTCATACATTTCAGTGGATGCATCACTCGTCGGTCTTTGTCAGACTATACAGGAGAGTCTTCATTCTGGCATTGTCTTTTACGAGGTCCTGCTTGCCTCTGGTATTGCATTAACAGTTCCATTGTTGAGTTTTGCATATAAATTGAACTTTTTGTTTGCCATTGTTCTCATATTGTCCATCATCATTGGAGGTTCTGAATCGATTCTGCAGGATCCGTTCACCTCTGGAGCTCCAATGAAGGTACGTTTTGCACAAACAATTGATCTTGACGGAACTGCTTCTCCTCAAGTTGAGATCTTGGGCCGTACCGGTTTCTTGTATGACATTATCAGTGATCTTCCAAGTGTGAAGGAACATCACGAGAATGTTACTTGTACGCCTTCTGATGACGGTAATGAAATTTGCTCTTATCAGTCTGCTGAGAGACCTTATCTCTTTAACGGTACACTCAAGGACAACTCGATTGAGTCCTATTTGACTGTTGATATTCTAAAGACAAAAGACAGCGAAGCATCACCTTATTCTCCAATGAAGGCTGAGATTCGCATTAACGTCAAGGAGAACAGAAACTGTCTCGTCACTTTCAACACTAGTGCTTATTCCCCTCACCATGGTAAGTCACCAGTTCGTGTTGTCACGATATACGACTCGGTGAATAATGTGTCACTTTCTTCAAATCTTGATAGTGCCAGCTCTTTATCCAATGGTTTTACAGTCGACTCCAGTGGAAATAAAATCTTCAAATGGCTTTCTGGTATTGATCAAATTGCCTTACACAAGACAAATTGGAACTCAGGTTACCATCTGGGTCTTCAGTGGGTTCCTAAATGGCTTGAGGATGGCGAGGATCAACCACCAAGTGATTCTCCCTTGAACAAATTAGGAGTACACGTCACATGCCATTGGGGAGAGTGGGACGACGTATCAATAGTTGATGGTGTATCAAGGCGGATAATACCTGCGTATGATGAACTTTTACAATATTCACCAGAGGCAACGTCGATTTCTAATCTATACGAAGGGTTGGTAAAGATTGACAAGTACATTGAACTCTGAATTAGGTCATTAGTATTTTATTTTAACAGTGATGACAAGTCATTCCAGGATTGTACATGTTTACACCTATTTGTGCCCTCGATGCCCTCATCGTATGGGATTCCATACTGCTGAAGTTTCCGGAGAGCACTTCCATCACCAAATGCGACGCCACAGTCTGCGTTAATTATCGTTAGGAAATCGGAGGAACTATCGCCAATGTAATACACTCCATCCTGGATGCCCTGTTTAAGAAGATCTTGCTTGATGAGCTTGAACTGTTGTAGTTTGTCGGACCCTGTGCGTATATCTCTTGTTGAAATCACTCTGCCGGAGAGCCGGCCATCCTTCAACACTTCGAATTCGTTTGTTATGAAGTGCAAGTTCTTGGGGTCTATTCCGTTCAATTCCAGCGTTCTTTTCATAATCAGCGAGGACCAGTTCACACTGAGTATATAAATTGGTATTTTCAGCTCAGTCAGTTTCTTTAGAAACTCAATGGAACCCGGGAACGTCTCCACGTGCTGAGCCTGTTCCTCCAACCGTTCCTTATGGACGTCTTTGAAAAGCTGTAGCTTCACAGCTTCCGCCAGCGAGCTCAGCTCCACACATCTCAGCTGATGTTCGTACTGGAACTCTTCCTCCAACGAAGTTGGCTTCGTGGAGTGCTTCATGAAGTTTTGGTACTGTTGAAGGTAAACATCGACAAAATGGGACCAAGGGTACGGGAATGGACGGTCTTGTGAGTACGCTGCTTGTCCAACCAAGTGCATCGTATCCTTGGATATCGTTTCGTCCCAGTCGGTCACCAGTGCTCTGATTGCAATCATTCGACTCCTCACCAACGGTCTTGAGGCAAACGAGCCAACGACACTTTGGTTCATGGGCGTGTAAAATTTGTCCCTCAAGAGGTCATCACAGCAAACAACCTTTACGCGGAGAAGATGGGCTCAAACCGAAAGTGCTTTTTTTTCACTGTTTGTATGTATAAATAGGAAACAAGATATGAATAAATAGTTTATAAATACGAATAAATAGAATGACAATACCAGCAACGATGGCCCTGTGTGCACATTTGCTTCACCTTGCTCATTTGGTTGGATCGTTCTTCTGGTAACCGTAGAACCCTTCAATACGTCCCTGGGCATCCATCATTTGCATGTACTTCTCAGCCAGATCTCTACAGTCCTCGAAGTGGTTCACGCCCTTGTTCTTATAGCACTTCTCCAGCGCGTGACGGGTGACTTTGAGCGCGTTGATGCGGATCCACTGTTCTCTAAGCATGGACTCTTGAGCTTTACGGAGGTCCTCGTAGTTGTCATAGTTGATATCATCGAATGACACGAGCTCGTTCTCCTTATGTGCTACAGAGGCTGTTAGTACTCCGGCTTCAGCAGTGGGTGAAAGCATGCGAATCAACACTTACCAGACATCTTCGGTTGGTGTTTTCTGAGGCTTCCCGTGTTTCTTTGTGTTGATCTTCTTCTTTCAGCGGCTATTTCATAACAAATTTCCAAACAAATTTCCCCCTGAAAGCACAAAAAAAACCGAATCCGCGAAATCGTTTTACAAAACCTCGTTAGCCTCGGCCGATCACCAAATACACAAGGCAGTGGGAACAAGGAACGTCGGACATTTTTTTGGTCTGTTGTTTTGATTTGTTTACAACGTGAGCTTGTTTGGAAGCCTACGAGCGAGTTTAACCTCTTTGTGTTTCAATCGATTGCTGGGAAGAAACTGGCCAGTTTGACAATGTCTGAGGGGCGTTCGTTGTTGACGTTGAACGCTCGCTATATTTCCATAGCTCATACTGTATGCGCTGCTTCTGCGTTCATAGCTGCTCTTATTGTCGGGTGCCTTCTTCATTACAACAAGATTGTTGAGAATGCTCATTATGGTTATCCAGATGAATGGTTCCCGAGTGTGAGTGCGACAATTGGTGACAGATACCCTGAAAGAGCGGTCTTCCAGATCCTCATTGCGTTGACGTCGGGCCCGAGGTTTCTGCTCTTGATCACCTCATTCTTCCGCTATAGCGGTACCAAGACAACCAGTCAAAACGTGTTTGGCTTGCTTGTGGGTGTCCTGAGAACTGTCACCTGCGGAGGATGGGTGTATATCACAAGCACTGACGATCACGATGCACATGACGTGTTCATGATTGCGTACATCGTTTTGACCATTCCATGGGATACCTACGTGATCACGGCAACTCCAAAGAGAACGAGATTGAGAAGTTACAGGCTGTGGACCTGTTTGGCGTTCTTTGGAACTTTAGTACCACTGATATACTGGTTCATCCAACACAAGATCCACAGAGTTGCTGGTGCTTACTCTGTTTATGCCTACTTTGAATGGTCATTGATCATTTTGGACATTGCATTCGACGCATGGACTGTCGTGGACTTTGCAGATTTGACATTGGTATTGCAAGGCACTGAGTTGGGGTTTCAGCTGAAGCAGGAGACTACAGAGTCTTCATCTGTTGAAACATCGGCGTATTCTGTTAATGACGTTGGCTTATTCGAAATCGTTATAAACACAATCAACGCGTTTATGTTTTGGTCTGTGATTACCGGTTTGCCACTGGTTGTTTGGTACTTTTCCCTTTGGGAATTGGCATTCTCAGGCTTTGAAGTCTCTATTGTTGCCAATATCTTCACCTTCCTCTTGTTGATTCCATTTGTCAAGAAATTCTTTACCTATTACCCACAGGTGTCCCGTTTCATTGGTGTCTTGGCAGGTGTTGGGTCGTATAAGATCCATCAAGAAGACTACAGATTATTGGCCAATGGTATTGCGTGTGTGTTTATGTGGATTTCTTTGGCGAATGAAGTTCATTGTTACTCATTCGATAACAAACGTGGAAAGGTTTACGCAACAACCTTTACGCTCGGTCTTATCCTCACTTCAATTGCAAAATTTGCCAATTATACCAATAACCCAATTTGGCCAATCATGAACGAATTCAACGGTGGTTGGAACATGACTGGTTTGATCATTGGCTTGGTGTCGGCTTTGTTTACTCCAAGATCAAAATCAACTGGTACCACTGTATCAGCCGTCGAGAACACACCATCGTTTCTCATCACCTCAGTCGGACTTGGTGCATTGCTCTTCAGCTTGCATGCCATGATTACTGATTCTTCCACAATGATAACGTGGCTATGGGAAGGTTATCCACATGTCGGACCAACTGCTGTACCACACGGTGCAATCTCAATTACAGTTGCTTTGCTCGGTGCATATTTGGGTTTGGCATATCCTGCCATAACCTCACCAATTTTTGTTGTCTTGGGCTGTATATCCGCAGCTGTGTTGTACAGCTTGAGAGGATGGCTTGGATACGCTGGTGTATTGGGTTACACCATATTCCTCACCAGTGCAGTGCCAGCTTACTTCAACCAAGCATCAAAGTTCCATCCTGGAAAGATCTTTACGTTGACTGGCTTAATCAACATCCTTTACCTTTTGGCACACGTTTGGGTCGTTGCTTATGCATTTGTTCCTGCAGGTTGGTTGCTCAGAGAAAGAACAGATATCGTCTTAGGATCATCTACTGTTTTGGTCGCTGCTGGCCTTTTGTCCTTCAACAAGCTTAGTGCTCCACAGATTGACGTTTCAAGTGCGTTGTGCAGCGTCAAGAAGATCATATACCCGCTCATTGTAATAAGTGGACTCATCGCTTATATCCGTTTACCAACTTCAGACCCAGTGCCATACCATCCAGGGACAAATATGTTCACGGCAGGTATCTGGACAATCCATTTTGGCCTCGACAACGAGATGTGGGCTTCTGAGGGACGTATGCGTGATTTGATTCGTGATCTAGAGCTGGACATTGTTGGACTCTTAGAGTCTGACACGCAGAGAGTCGTCATGGGTAACAGAGACTTGACCCAAAAGTTGGCACATGATTTGAACATGTACGCTGATTTTGGACCGGGCCCTAACAAGCACACCTGGGGTGCTGCTCTCTTATCCAAGTTCCCAATCATCAACTCCACACACCACTTACTTCCTTCCCCCGTGGGTGAATTGGCACCTGCCATTCATGCCACTTTAGACATCTATGGTGAACTCGTGGATGTTGTTGTCTTCCACTCGGGTCAAGAGGAGGACGTTGAAGACAGACTGCTCCAATCCTTGGGTGTTCGTGACATCATGGGGTCGAGCAACAGACCAATGGTTCTTCTAAGTTACCTGGTCACCACGCCGCTGGAGGGCAACTACCACAACTATGTCTCCGACAAGAGCGGAATGCACGACGTTGACCCTACTGACTGGGACAGATGGTGCCAGTACATCTTGTACAAGAACCTGGAGAGAACCGCGTATGCAAGGGTCAGTAGAAGCACAATCACTGACACCGAAGTACAGGCTGCTAAATTCGTCGTAAATTCACCCGAGGCTCAGAGTTACTCACAACAGAGAATCAGCGAGGACGATGTTCCAGAGGAGATGAGATTCCCGCTGATGTTCTACGGCGAGGGTGTAAGGGGACACGCTTACCACGTCTTTGATGAGCCTCGCTACTACGAGTAGACCGTGTGTGTGTGTGTGTGTGTGTGTGTGTGTAACGTGCGTTCTCAATTGAATACCTTTTACAACCGTTGTGCCGGATACGCCATCCGCCTTCCTTCCCCCTGTTTGTAGTGCTCGTTGTTGAGATCTATAAATAACCGAAAGCAGCGCTTTTTAGGCGGCTTTGTTGGGCGGCATCCACTCTCTCGGTTCGAGACCCTCAAACCTGCACAGCTTTCGGCTTTTTAAAGATTCGCTATCTGGGACGGGTTTTCCCAAATCTGCAAATCTTGCGTACGGGTGGTGGCCAGCACACAGAGAGAGGCCCCAAAAGTTGAAACTGTGCGCTGGACAGTCCCTTTCAGAGCACTGGCAACTAGAGGGTACCTCTGTGTATAAATATAGTGGTGTTTTCTTGAAGATGTCGACTCCACTGCGAAGAAAGAGCGGTGTGGACGTGAGCGTCAATTTGAACAAGCCGTTGCCTCCAATCACAGTCACGGTGGGGGAGAGAGATATGCTGCAATCGACGTCACGACAGGGCCATATGGGCTCAAGCGTGTGTGATGTTGATAATGGCTCGGGCCAGGGTGAGCTGCTGTTCCAGCCGAAGACCATGAAAAGAAGGAATCTGAAGAAGCTGACGCTTGGAGATGAATCGCCGTCGTCCAACTCTGTCTCGTCTCTATCATCGCCGGTGAATATGTCCCTGAGGACACCTGTGACGATACTATCTACAAAGAGCACAGAGGATTTGGAGTTGGCAGAGAGCTTTAAGAAGCTCTCGACCACGCTGAATCGGGATTTCGAAATAAGGCAACAGGATCTACTCACTTTGAAGTCGCTTGGAGAAGGCCAAAGCGGCGTTGTCTCTAAGGTTCTTCACGTGCCCTCTAATAAGATCATGGCCAAGAAACAGATCCTGTTTGAGAAGAATATCAAAGTGCAGAACCAAATCGTGCGTGAGCTGAAGATTCTTCAAGAGGTTGATAGCCCTTACATTGTTGAATTCTATGGCGCAACGTTCATAGACACAACGTCATCAACTTCGGAAGAGTCGACGATAACACCTACGGAGCCATCGTCTAACGATCAACAAGCAGCCAAGCAGGCAGTAGTTTCTAATAGCTCTGATGAAACACCAAGCCTGTCCGCAAACGGTGTGATAATATGCCTGGAATACATGGATTGTGGGTCTCTGGATCATATATTAAAGCAATTAGGGTATCTGAAGGAGGTTTACCTGTCCAAAATCACACATAATGTATTGCAAGGCTTGGATTACCTCTATTCTACTCACAAGATCATCCATAGGGATATAAAGCCATCCAACGTGCTGTTGAGCTCCAAAGGTGAGGTGAAGATCTGTGATTTTGGAGTTAGCAGAGAGTTGAGTAACAACTCCATAGCTGACACCTTTGTTGGAACGTCGACATATATGTCTCCTGAGAGGATACAAGGTGACGTATACAACATAAGAGGCGACGTGTGGTCCCTAGGGCTAATGCTCATCGAATTGTCCACTGGTGAATTCCCATTTGGTAAAAAAGACACTCCAAATGGAATACTCGATCTGTTACAGAGAATTGTCAACGAGGATCCACCATCGTTACCTAGAAGTAGGTACAGTAAGGAGCTATGTGATTTCGTTGAACTGTGCCTGAAGAAACAGAATGAACGTCCAACACCATTGGAGCTGCTCAATTTGCCACATGGTCTACTGAAGAAGTATGAACGGGAGAAAAGTGGTCCTTTGTTAAGACACCTAGCAAAGAAACTAAGATAGCACACCATATTCTTGAACACTCCCTTAATAATAGCATTGTCATTTTATAGCACTTACCGTTATGTACAGAACAAACACCGTAGACCTGTTCATTCAAGCACTTCACTCTTCGTTCCCCAGAGTATTCCCTCAGTCCCTCTCACCACACCAAACCCCAGTAACCCAACGCCGAATCCCTTAACAGCATTTCTCCACCATATCGGGTTCTTCTTTAGATTCTCCTCAACGCTAATTTTATCATTCTCAAACACCCTTCCGCTGGCAAACCAATAACCAGCTGCAAGCGCAAAGCAGGTGGACATTATTTGACAAGGAACACAGTCCTTTGTTTCCTCTGGCGTGAGGTCCCTAGAAGGGGGAGGATTGAACACGTTCACAATGTTAGACATTGTGTATACTGTTCCTGAATTAGACTGCTTGTACTCAAGGCTACTTCGTTTAAATTAAGAAGAGGGAAAGAGAGAAAGAGCAGCAGAGCGAGCGAGCGATGAGATGATTAGGAATTTTTCACCAATGCACACATCATTTTCCTTCCACTTCCGAAAGGGGAACTCAACAAAGAATACGGCATTCGAAGCACTGCATTTACCAAATCGGGTAATCAAGCCAACCAGTTCACCGGGCAATTTTTCTTCGTCCCCCCAAAGAACGGGCAAAAAACGGCTCCAAGGGTGAACATTTTCAACTAATAAACAAACAGCTCTTACAAGGGAAACTACACCATTACAGAACTTTTTTTTTCATCTTATTGAGCTCATATCGTCTTGTCTCATCTTAGTTTCTTGTTACAATTAATCACTGTATAATTCGAGCTTGTTGATTTACACAGAATTAGAGAACGTTACACAAATTTGACACGATACATTGGAAAGAAGGACAAGTTCTACACACCCACACACACACACAAATATATATAATTCAACAATATGTCTGACGACTGGAAGAAGAACTTACACATCCCTGAGAGGGACACAAGACCTCAGACTGAGGATGTTACCAAGACCAAGGGTAACTCGTTTGAAGACTTCTACCTCAGTAGGAAACTACTCATGGGGATCTTTGAAGCTGGTTTCGAGAAACCAAGTCCCATCCAGGAGGAGTCCATACCAGTGGCATTGGCCGGTCGTGATATCCTTGCAAGAGCTAAGAACGGTACCGGTAAGACTGCTTCGTTTATTATTCCAACGTTGGAGAAAGTCAAGCCAAAAGTGGAAAAGATCCAGGCGTTGCTGTTACTCCCTACGAGAGAATTGGCGTTGCAAACGTCGCAGGTTGTTAGAACATTGGGTAAACATTTGGATATCCAATGTATGGTGACAACAGGTGGTACCTCTCTCAGAGACGATATTGTTAGATTGCAAGAGCCTGTCCACATCCTTGTTGGTACACCAGGTCGTGTCTTGGACTTGGCCAGCAGACAGATTGCTGACCTCTCAAGCTGTTCCATCTTTGTCATGGATGAGGCGGACAAGATGCTTTCTCAGGAGTTCCAGAGAGTAATCAACCAAATTCTTGCATTCTTGCCAGAGAAGCACCAGTCTATGCTGTTCTCTGCTACTTTCCCACTCACAATCCAGAGCTTTATTGCTCAAAATTTGAAAAATCCATACGAAATTAACTTGATGGATGAATTGACCTTAAGGGGTATCACCAATTACTATGCGTATTTGGAGGAGAACCAGAAGTTGCACTGTTTGAACACTTTGTTTAGCAGATTGCAAATCAACCAAGCTATCATTTTCTGTAACTCTGCAAAGAGAGTTGAACTGTTGGCTAAAAAGGTTACAGAATTGGGATTCTCTTGTTACTATTCGCATGCGAGAATGCCACAGGACGCTAGAAACAAAGTGTTCCACGATTTCAGACAGGGCAAAGTTAGAATCCTCGTTTGTTCCGATTTGTTAACAAGAGGTATTGATATTCAGGCTGTCAATGTTGTTATCAACTTTGATTTCCCAAAGACTGCAGAGACTTATTTACACAGAATTGGTAGATCCGGTAGATATGGACATTTGGGTCTAGCCATCGATTTCATCACTTGGAATGACCGTGAGAACTTGTTCAGAGTGGAGAAAGAGCTTGGAATTGAAATTCCAAAGATTCCAAACCAAATTGACGAATCCTTATACGTTGCACAGAATGCAAAAGCTGTGCCAAAGCCATTCCCAATTCAAGAAATGCCAAAGGCAAACACTGAGGGATTCGGTTATAAAGGTCAACCTGGAGAGGTTGCTCAGACGCAAGCAGGTCAACAAGTTAACCATACTCAACCACAACTTTCGAGTGCTTCACCTTCCAATGGCTCTGCTACTCCATCTCAAGTACCAGCTCAGCCAGTACCACAACAGTTTGTACAACAGCAACAACAGCAACAGGGCTACCCACCTCAAGGATACCCTCAGCAATATCCAGCTCCGGGCTTCATTCCGCAAGGATATCCACCACAGGGCTACCCTCAAGGCTACCCACAACAGATGTATAACCCTCAGGTCTTCCCTCAAGGTTACCCACAACAAAAGCAACCTGCTTCGCAATGAAGATCTGTATTTTTGGGTTACAATATCGATACAACACATTCATTGAAACATACTGAGAAGAACATTAAACTAGGTATTTTGAAACCTTTTGTTAAGGAATAAATACATACAGAAAGAGAAAAGAAAGAGGAGTTGATGATGATTGTTTTTTGGGGGAATGTGAATATGAATTTTGGAGTTTTGCTTTTTTTGGCAGTTTCTCATCTTTGTTGTTTTCCATTGTTAATTGGTTTTGCAAGGAAGTTGTCATATTGAGGAACAATGTGCCTTTCACCATGATTTCACGCTCGATGCACGACGCTTTTGCTTTGTTGGTTTCCACTTTCGTTCGTTTTGATTTTGAAGTTGCCAAGTTTTGAATTTTGTTATTTGTTGTTTATCTGTCTTTTGTTTTGTTTCGTTTTGGTTTCCTATTGATTTTCCATTGATCTTTTTTTTTATATACTTGACCTATCTTGCAAAGATGTTGGTTCTTGTCCTTGTTCATTGAGCTGCAGTATACCCTCTACCGAGTCTTCAAGACAGTTCTCAGCTCAGTATCCAACTGAGTAATGAGACTATTGAGCATTCAACAGAGGGGGCAGCCGGACGAGCCATAATCAATGCTTTGGACCATAGGACTGGGTTTTCAATCGGGTTTCTCCTAGAACTGGAGGTTTTTTTTTCTGTTCAACCAAGTTACTACATGGAGATGTTCGAACACATGGTAATCATGCCAATGTGCAAAGCACCATCATCTGTTCGCCTATATCCATATATCTTGTCCCAATTTCTTGTGTTGTTCTTCCCTTTTTTTTTTATCCCAGAAGCTCACGGTCGTGATGTACAACCTCAGTACACATATCCATTCTTTTTATACAGCATACACTCTGTAGTTTGATGGAAGTGGCCTAACATCATAAGCTGTAGGCTGACTTGTACGGTGAAGATGGCCGCGACCGAGTCAGAAAACCAGCCTGTGTGGTCCCGAGTGAAAATTGTCTGCCAAATTGGCCGAGAGGCGGCAGCAAGGGAAACACCCGGACATTGCGTAAAAATTTCACAGTGGGTCGGTTTCCACGATGAGATGATGTCCCTCACAGTTGAAGATCTATCTTCTGGAAGAGAGAGAGAGAGGTCTTCACACTTTCAAGGTCTCTTAATTTGATCCCAGTCCTGTTATTAAAACTATATAATGTCGCTTAACCTTCTCGTTGTTGGTAACGGTGGTCGTGAGCACGCACTTGTTTGGAAGCTCGCTCAGTCCCCATCGGTGGAACACATCTATGTGGCTCCAGGTAACGGCGGTACAGACTCCCTTCCAAACGTCACCAACGTTGCTATTGGCTCATCTGCTGCTGATTTTGAGAAGCTTGCTGCCTTTGCACAGGAGAAGAAGATTGATTTGGTTGTTCCAGGCCCGGAGCAGCCGTTGGTTGATGGTATCTCCACAGTTTTCAAGAAGATTGGTATTCCAGTGTTTGGTCCTTCTGCTAAGGCTGCCATGATGGAAGGCTCGAAGGCCCTGTCCAAGGACTTTATGGCTAAGCACAACATTCCAACTGCTGCTTTCAAGAACTTTACCGATTTTGAAGCGGCAAAGGCCTATGTGCAAAGCGTGTCCCACAACGTTGTGATCAAGGCATCTGGTATCGCTGCTGGTAAAGGTGTTCTCATTCCAACAACAAAGGAAGAAGCCATCGATGCGTTGAAACAAGTGATGATTGTCAAGGAATTCGGCTCCGCTGGTGATGAAGTGGTTGTTGAAGAGTTCTTGGAAGGTGATGAGATCTCGATCCTCACGTTGTCCGATGGTTACTCCTACTACAACCTGCCAGCTGCTCAGGATCACAAGAGAATTGGTAATGGTGATACAGGTCTTAACACCGGTGGTATGGGTACATATGCCCCAGCTCCTGTTGCTACGCCATCTCTTTTGCAACAGATTGACGATTCTATCATTAAGCCATCTATTGATGGTATGAGACGCGATGGTTTCCCATTTGTCGGAGTCTTGTTCACGGGAATCATCATAACAGCTACAGGCCCAAAGGTCTTGGAGTACAATGTCAGATTTGGAGACCCAGAAACACAATCTGTTCTCCCACTTTTGACCGATGATACGGACTTGGCCCAAGTGTTCCTCGCAGCTGCTGAAGGTAGATTAGATTCCGTTGAAATCAAGACTAAACCAAACACTTTCGCTACAACAGTTGTGATTGCTGCTGGTGGTTATCCTGAAGAGTACAAGAAGGGTGATGAAATCACCATCGATTCCGATATCCAAGCTCTTGTATTCCACGCGGGTACCAAGAAGGAAAACGGTGTTGTGTACACCAATGGTGGCCGTGTCATTGCTGCTACTGCCACAGCTGGTTCTCTTGAAGATGCAGTCAAGAAGGCTTATGAAGGTGTTGAAAAGATCCACTTCAACAACAAGTACAACAGAACTGATATTGCTCACAGGGCCTTCAGAGATGCTGCTAAGACTGAGGGTTTGACATATGCCACTGCTGGTGTCTCTGTTGACAATGGTAACTTGCTTGTTGAAAATATCAAGGCTATGGTTAAGTCTACAAAGAGACCAGGTGCTGATTCTGATATTGGTGGTTTCGGTGGTATTTTCGACTTGAGTGCTGCTGGATACAAGACTGACGAGACTTTACTCGTTGCTGCTACTGATGGTGTCGGTACTAAGTTGAGAATTGCACAAATTTTGAACATCCATGACACCGTTGGTATCGATCTTGTTGCCATGAACGTCAATGATTTGGTTGTCCAAGGTGCAGAGCCATTGTTGTTTGTTGATTACTTTGCCATTGGAAAGTTGGATATCAACATCGCTGCAAACTTCGTGAAGGGTGTTGCTGATGGTTGTAAGCTTGCTGGCTGTGCCCTTGTCGGAGGTGAAACCTCTGAGATGCCAGGTATGTATGAGCCAGGTCACTATGACACTAACGGTACTGCTGTTGGTGCAGTTAACAGAAACAAGGTCCTTCCTCTTGTTGACCAAATGGCTGTTGGTGATGTTCTTCTCGGTTTGAAGTCCGATGGTGTTCATTCCAACGGTTTCTCCCTTGTCCGCAAGATCATTGAGACTTATGGATTCTCATACACAGATGTTGCACCATGGAAGCCAGAATCTACAATTGGAAAGGAGTTGCTGGTACCAACCAGAATCTACGTCAAGCAATTGCTCAGACCAATTCAAAAGGACTTGATCTTGGGTCTTGCACACATCACTGGTGGTGGTCTTTTGGAGAACATTCCAAGAGCTCTTCCAAAGAACTTGTCTGCTAAGGTTGACCTGAAAAGCTTTGAAGTTCCAGAAATTTTCAAATGGTTTGGTGAAACTGCAAATGTTCCAGTACATGACATGCTGAAGACTTTCAACTTGGGTATCGGTATGGTTGTTATCTTGAAGAAAGAGAATGTTGCAGAAGTTACTAAACTTCTTGAAGAAGCTGGTGAAACCGTGTATGAAATTGGTGAACTTGTTGCAAGAGGTGATGACATTGGCACAATCATTGAGAACTCTGAAAGCCTTTATGCAAACTAAACAACTAGTTTTATAATAAGTAACGATATCGTTTTGTTTTAGACAACCCGTTTAGAATATATATACATGTACAAACTGTTAACCTAATCAGCCTGGAATGGTTTTTCCTTGAGTGCTCTTGTTATCTGGTTCTCAACGTGCTGGTAAACTGTGAATGCAACACCTCCAGATGTACCAACCTTCAAGAGTCGAGGGAACCAACCAGCCCAGAATGCCTTCACACCTTCTTCAACAAAGATTCTGTAGGCACAGTTTAAAGAATTCTTGTATAGGTAAAACGTCTCTCTACTCTGCATTCTTGTTTTGATGACATCGATAGGTTGAGTCACTGCGACCACAACAACAGAACTTGTAACACCAATGGTGAATGTAAGGTATGTGTTCATCTCACCACTGTGGCCGAAAAGAGACCTTAACCAAGTATACGTACCAAATCTCACTGCACTGTTGGTGCACTGTCTCAAGAGGGTTGGTACGGTACCTTGTACGAATCCTCGAAACCCTCTGGTCTGATAAATCTCCTGAGTTGCCTGTAAGAAGTTTGCAGGAGGGTTTTTATCCCATTTACGTTTGGCAACCACCATTGGGTGGTTCGATAAGTCTGATGCCAAAGACTTGTGGAACGTTTTCTTTGACTTTGTCGCAGTTTCAGTGGAGCCCTGAAGGTTGGAATCAAGTGCACTCTTTTCACCTCTATCACGTGCGCTTGTTATCAGAGCGCTTTCAATCATGGTGGTTTTGATGTTTTCGAATGGAATAATCCATAGCGATTCGACAAAGCCTGTCATCGCACCAGCAATGACCAATCTTGGAGCGCTTGTCTTGCCCGTATCCGACGCCATGAACTTAGAGGCCCAGTTGAACACCATAAACCTGGAGCCTGACTTCAACGCGTTCCCCACGTTCAATGCGCCACATCCTGCAAAGTAGTGTTTAAACTGATGATGTAGCTCGAGTGAAGGGAATACTCCCTTGGAGTTTGGGATCCTACGGGTCAGCTGCGACACTGTTTTCGCAAATTCAAAGGGGTACGTGAGTGTGGTTTGTACCAGCGAGGCACTCACACCCGCGATGACAGCCGTCACCAAGTTTGGCTAATGATGGATGTCAGTTAAGGGCCGGTCGTACACAGTACGAAAACATTGTGGTTACTCACTTCAACTTGTAAATCACGGTTCAAACG